ATCTATCAAGTAAATGAACGTTACAAATATTATTACTTGAGAAAAGTGTCTAGAACTTTCCATGTGCACGTACAATATTTATTGTATATGTCCGCCTGCGGTGAGACAGAGACAGGAAAAATAGAAGAAGAAGAAGAAACTTGTTTATTTGTGAGTGAAATTCAATTGTAAATATTGCGTTGTGCCGAAATCATTTAAATAAATGGTAGCATTTCCCGTCGAGAATATTTCATTTCGAGACAATGAACGCGCCATTCTGAGAGAGAGAGAGAGAGAGAGAGAGCAAGAGCAATGGCAAGAGAAAGAGATCCAGTCGGAGGAAGAGGCACACAGTGAGAACGAGAGAGAGTTAAATGGGAATGTGTATGTGCTATGCAAAAGAGTGGAAATGCATTAGAGCTTTTTAAGGATGCATAAACCAGTCATGTTTACTCTGACTGGATGCTTCAGTTTGTTACTTCGCTCAATTATTTTCAGCATTTTCATCATCAGCATCATCTTCCATTTTAATTTTATTCATAGACATCGTTTGTCTTGTCATCTTCATTCTGCAAACCAGTCGATGGCTGCATTCAGCTTACCAACACCAAAACGAGAATATTTCTGAAGCACAGAAAAAAACGTAAATTCGAAGCAGCAGCAGCAGCCTAGGCAGCAGCAACAACAACAAGTGCAGTGCAGCCGAACGGGCAACAGCAGTCAGGGAATATGGTTTTCAGTTGAGTTGATGCGTTTAGCTTTTATTACCTAACAGTGGTCGATTTATATAACAGTATGCAATGCATCGATCGCCGGATCATCACAAAATTATAATATCACACACACACACACACACACACACACACACACCACGTAAACGATAGTCGATAGACGACGCAGAGTCATCGAATGTGAGATGGGGGGATGAAAAAGAGGAAAAAAAAGCGCGGCTCCACGTTGATTGAAGACTTTGCAGTGCATGGAAATGCAGTTGGCCAATGATTCAACGGTTGCTTCGCTATCATTGATCAAAAGAATTCGATGAAAAGACTTCGCAAATCCCCTTTTAATGGAAAATTATTATTTGAATGCACCACTTTATTCGTTGGCTTTCTCCTTCTTCTTCATCATCATCATTTTTTTCGCTTCATTTTTCTTCTGCATATTCAATTCAGTTTTTTTTTGTTCGTTCGTTTGCCATTCAACGTAGAAAAAAAATAGAGAAACACTTTGCACAGAGAGAAAGGGACACACAGAGAGTGAGGAAACAGATAAAAGTAAATCGATTGATGCATTTTTCCAACATTTTCGTTTACGTTGTTAAAAAGATATTAAAAATGTAATAACGTTTCAGCAGCGCGAATCGTTAAAAGTTCCCCTTTTGAGACGGAGCGAGAAAGAGAGAGTAGAAGAAATTTTGGTGAGAAAACATCATTATTACTGGTTTTATTTATCATAGATTGTGTGGTTTTGAGCAGTACTCATTCATACGAATTGGTTTTGCAAAGAAAAATGAAATTGTACGCTGCGGAAAGGCATCTGACGTGGTATCTGACGAGGCGTGCGTATTTTTCGTATTTTCCTATGAAGAGCATATTTCTGGTTATTCTTTCTTTTTTTTTATCAAACAAAAATCCCAAGCAAAATTCTATTTGAAATATGTATATTGATGTTATTTCTTTGCATCACAATTTTTGCGTTTTGTGTAAACACACAGTGTGCTTCAAAAAAAAACAATAATGCTCTTTGAAGAAAGCAAAAAAAAAAAACGGGAACGATTTGAATTTGGATGGCACAAAATTTGAGTATTTCTTTTTGGAGGAGGGAATGGGTTACGTTTTTATTTAATTAAATTGTATTGTTGTTGATTCGGTTCCGACAGACTTGAGTGACGCTCTCATTCGAATGATGAACTGAAATTTTGAAATCCAACCAAAGTGGAAGTGAAATGTAAAATGAAATAAATGGGAATATGAGCTGCAATGACAAAACACACAAGCCATCGCCCATCCATCCCAAACAACTAATTACCATGTTGACAGGCACAATGCATTTTCCGTTGTTTTTTCTTCGGTGCAAGCCCAGAAGAATAAAAACGAGTAATAATAATACGTACATTATACCGATAAATTGTGTTGGATTGTCTTGTTGCGCGCTGCGGAGAAATGAATGAATTGTCGACGACAAAACCATTACAGTGTGTTGAATGAGAGTACTCAACAACCGCAGCAAACCGCTTCATTGCATATTTGACCATAATTTGTATGTGTATGTGTGCACATTGCGGGACTGTGTTGCCTTTGTGCAACATTTCAATTGATTCGTGTGTATTTATGTTTGTACTTGTACCGCATATGGTAATGTGTGAATAATATTTATTCGAAATTGATTTATTACTCCAAATATATAAATGTATCGATGGAAAAATCCAATCGGATCTACGGTTGAAATATGATACAAAAGAATTTCGGTTGCCAAGTTACAACTTCGTAAGCATTCCATTTAATATATTGATTCAATTCCATAATAATGGTTATGATTCGGTTACATGCTTTTTTCTCTCTGTGTATTCGTTTAGCTCCCGATTAGTGCACACAACTCCTCTGTTGTCCTCTCACCGCCGTATTAATGAAACGGTTTAACGATTGCACATATTTTGAGCGATGTAAATTAAATGGAATTTTACGTGTTCAAAAGGAGCGTACCATGATTTACTACTAATCGGATTCAAATAATTTTCTAATAATAAATTGATATTAAATGAAAATGCAATGCTTCTACCCTATATATATATATATATATATATGATTGATGCATGAACGGCTCATCATCATTTGCTTGCGCGTTCGCGTGTTCGCTCAAAAATGTGGGACGCTATGTTTAGCGCAAGTCGGCATATCGGCAAAGATTCTATTTGAAATATGCAATTAATCGAAACACGTACTCGGATAATAAATTTTCAGTTGCATCGAAAATGCTGTTTTGATGCAGTTCATTTCACTTCGGTTTATTGCGGTCGACGACTAAAACTAAAATTTCCGGAGGAGGCAAAACAAAACTACCAATAAAATTGGCTTGTCTTAAATGCATAGAGTGCGATCATGATTGAAAATGAGAGAGAGAGAGAAATTGAGTGAGAACAAACATCCGCTTCACTGTAAACACAAGCTCAAAGTAGCAGACAAAAATCATTCAATATGATCCACTTTTTGGTTGGCCTGATTGAATATATTCAATGTTGCAGCATAAATCAATCAGCTTGAATGTTAAATTCATTTGATTTCGTTTTATCGTATGATTTAGTTATGGATATCCAACGGCTTCAGAATATATGCATACATCGATGAAACCGTCACATTGAATTTTGCATCCAAAACCATCAAACCATTATTCTATAGCAAATAGAACGGCACTTATAGGATTAATGTATAGAATGATGGGGGGGGGGGGGGAAATTCCTTCCACGAAACCGATATAATGGTTACAATGCCAACAATAAGCGTTTAAATGCCATTAGTGCTTTTTGGCATCTCATTGATTTTGTAATGATGGTCTCGGTTCAACTCTCTCTCAATATTCATTCGATTCCAGTACATTTTATCGAAAGCTTCGAGTTTTCCTATTCCAATCATATCGTCTCTCATTCAAATAACATTTTTTACCGAATTGTCATCGATGACCGTCGCACGCATTCAATACCAAGAAATTCAATATGCAACACTAATTGCACTGGAGTTGTGCATCCATCTGCTTAATCCGGGATCAATTCGTTTGGCACGTTTCAATGTGGAATATTCACCATGATCCATTCCATTCAATTCAATAATTCAGGTGTGTCAATGAACATGAAACATGTAAACTTCGCGCCAATTTAATACGAAATAGTGTAATATACCACTTTGGCTGGCTCGATAGCAATCGGGATTTATGTTCAATGAAGTTTACAAATGCACTCTCATATTTTCAAGATAACATCGGTGTTAATCCCACATCCATATTACATGAAATTATTGCCCAATTAGCAATTACTCGAAAATTTAACGTAACCATCATACTATTTGTGCGCACAGAGAGAGAAAGTGAGAGACAGAATCCAGCAAACAAAAATAACATATTTAAAACCACTTTAAATGTCCAATTCCTGATAAATCGTCAGTCTCAAGCGCATTTTGCGCTTCAAGCAACAACACAGCCCAATACAATATCCAAATATTTGCATCGTCGTTGCCGTCGTCGCAATTATAAATAAAATTGCTAGCCATTCCTATCGATATACGGATATACGGATATATCGGATATAATGTGTTGCCTGGATGTGCGATTATATTCGACCAGCGATGATCATAATTGCATGTAATTACAACGTTCATGCTGAATAATTTTTGGCCCGAGAGCTGGAAAATTAATGCTCTTGTGGAAATAATTAACGGTTGCGATGACAACAAACGCGTAGTTCCTCATTTAGTTTCATCTCCTCACCCAACACCATACCACAATATAGCAACGCAAAACCAGAGAGGCTACCAATAAAATTGCTTTCATTTAGCTACTTATAGTATTGATGAATTAATAATCTCATTGCGAATTGAACGGCATCGAAAAGGTTCGATTTGACTGAAACAAAAACGCATTAAAATCGCCGTACAATGAAGTGGAGATTTATGAATTTTAACCGATCATTTATAAAGCTGATGAGACTTTTGCCGCATTCGAAATTCATTGCGAAGCTTTGAGTTTAGTGAGGGGCGTACGTTGACAGATGGCAGCAGTGATATTTGACGGAAATAGTGAAGGAACATTTTGAAATAATTGTTCGAATGGAAAATTGCACAGTTCTGAATTAGTGACGTACTTTTCGTATTAAAGTGAACATTGTGATTCAAAAATTGACAAAAAATTTAGAAAAATGGCACAAAATATCGATAATGGCACTTGCATGTGCATTAGGGCAAAATGAACTGTCAAACCAATCGAATTGAACCATGAAATGTCAACATACATACACACACTGGCATTTTGTTGGCTGCTGATTTTGTGGAGATAGTAAATGGGCAAACCATTGACGTGTCGGCAAATGCTTGAATACACGCATCGACACACAGTAGCCAATACAAAAACATTGAAAAGACCCTGCAGCAGACTTCAAAACTCCAACATACCGAACGAATTTGTGTGTTTTTTTTCCTTCGTGTGATAAAACGAGAAAAATATTGTGGTAAATAATAGAATAGACACTGAACCAACGCATTAATAGTAGTAGCATCAGTGGCAAATGTTGAGTTGACGTTGTCACCAAACGCAAAAAATTGTGATTCTGAATTGAAATCCATTTCTTTTTCGTTTTTTTTTTATTTGATTGCTGAAAGCAAAGTTGTGAGTATTCGGACGAACGCAAATGAATGGTTTTTTTTTCTTATTTTGATACAAATGTATTGGACAGTTAGAAATCCACCATTCATTTTCACTCCAACGTGTACACTGTATTTTGTGTGATCGACCGGTCTGAATTTTCTTTGATTAACATATTTTTCTGTTCATTCTTCTGCTTTTTCTCTCTGTGTGTGCTGTTGCCTTGAGTGCAGGATTCACCAACGAAACACGTCATTTGCATCGGTAGCATTTAAGGGAAACACAATATTAGCCAAATCGCATCATGCATACACTTATATCACGAGGAAATGCACTATTTGCATACTCACTGAGCGTGTTGGCCTGTTTAACATTCTGCTGCTTCTTATCCACCGTGTTCCTGGACTACCACACATCTGTAGATATCAACACAGTGAAAGTGCTGGTGTGAGTGCACTCTTTCTCTTAATATAATCCTGAATAAGTGAATAATTGATTGCGAATTTGGTTTTTTTTTTATAGGAAAAACGTACCTGATTACGGTGCATCGCGTGAGAAGAAAGACTTGGGTTTCCTAACATTTGACTTGAAAGCTGATTTAACCAGCCTATTCAATTGGAATGTTAAGGAATTATTTTTGTACCTAACCGCCGAATACAAAACAAAAGACAATGAACTGAATCAAGTGGTGCTCTGGGATAAAATTCTATTACGTGGCGAAAATGCGCAGCTCGATTATCAAAATCTCAATACGAAATACTATTTCTGGGACGATGGCAATGGCTTGAAGTAAGCAAATGAGTTTTAATATTTTTCATAATTCAATTGATGTTGGGTTGATTAAATTAATTTTTCTTTTCTAATCATGATTATTTGGTTTTCGTTCATTTTTACAGAGGTCACAAAAATGTGACGCTCACATTGTCCTGGAACATTGTACCAAATGCCGGTCTACTGCCAAGCATCGTTGGAACCGGTTCACATTCATTCAAATTCCCCGACACCTACCAATCGGCTCCGCTGTAATTTTGTTCGTCTTGTCAACCAACACTTTTTCAATACACACCAAAACAGTTCCGACTTCGTTTTTCTATTTCTTAATATAAATAGTATGTTAAATTTTTAACAGAAAAAAAAACAACAACAGCAACAACACACAAAACATATTAGGATTGTATTTTTAACGCCCATTCAGATTTGATCGAACGAGCCATTAATGGCCATTTAGTCGGCTGTCACACGATTTTTTCGTCTTTATTAATTTTTTTTTTCTTCATTGAGATGCTTAAGCCAATTGCTCCAAAACTGTAAAATATAAAGGGAAAAAAACGAAACACACGCAATGTAGAAAAATCATTTCGAGAATAAAAATATAAAGCATTTTTGTACACAACTTCAAATTACAACATCCATATTAAATCCGATAATTAAATGAAAGAAAAAAAAACAATACTTTGCACTCTCTTATGATGTCTGTGAATTGTCGTATGTTTAAAAAGAAGCAAGAAAAAAAAAGTCGCGAAGCTCAATCCTCTTTCAAATCACTGGTTCCGACAAATAGATAATGTTTTCAAATCGAAAAGAAAAAAATCAAGAAATTCTGATAGAATTAATGTATTTAATTTACATTTGTTTAGTTGTGAGAGAAAATTGAAGAAGAAATGAAGAGCGCAAATAAAAATCAATTGAAACATAAGTGTTGCTGTTTTCTCACCTATTCTTTTCCACCATGATTGGAGAAAGATTGAAAAAAGAACGAAGTTTTTATTTCGATACGATGCGAAATAAGAAAAGAGCTGTGCCGGTATTCTAAGTCATTCCACCAAAATCGTTCGGCATTATTTTTTTCGTACATAAGACCATATTGAAGTGAAAGAGAGAGATTCCACTATTTATTATTTTTCAGCTTCCCACCGGAATTATTTCTCACACAATCCACTGTTCCTTGAGTTGCAATCCACTCTTCCTTGAGTTATCGGAATAATTCCGGTGGGAAGCTGAAAAATAGTGGAATCTCTCTCTTTCACTCCAATATGGTCTTATGTACGAAAAAAATAATTCCGAACGATTTCGGTGGAATTCTTAGAATTCCAGCCCTGGTTCAATTTCATATCTAAGAAGAAACGGTATTGTTAAATTTATACGAAAATGGAATTGAATTTATGATAGCTAGAGAAATGTACCATATTTTGCAGCACTCAACGAAAATTTGTTAATTTTTCAAGCGTGCAAATGATTTTCAGTTCATTTGCATCATCTAGTGGCTTATAATTGCCGATATTTGAACATTAGTTACACCATTTCTCAGTTTTCTATTCAGTTAAGTATGCTGTTTCCCAGTAAAAGTCATAGTAACTTGCGTAACTCATAGTGGCTTGCGATTTGGGAAATGGTCTCATTCCATGTGCAAGGGCTCGGCGTATTCAACTACAAACAATAAAACGTCTATTTATTAGCTTCCTACAAAGTAAAACAAAAGTAATGACCAAAAGTTTTTTCCAAGACCAATTCATTCATTAACTTGTTCATTTTCTTTATTGATCCATTTTACTCTTAAACATACAATCAATCATTGTGTGTCAGAGTATGTTTTTGTTTAATTCATCTTCATATCAAACGTCATAGTTGTCATGCAAAAAAAAAAAAATTCAATGTTTGCTCATTTGTCTGCCACTAGATTCTACATTTGTCATAGATTTGTGTGAGGCTATTAATCAGTGTGGTTGGTGCGAGGGAATCTATACTCTTATGTCACATGTACAATTATTCTCTTCGTTTTCTTTTCTTTTTATTTTGACATTAAAATATAAATTCGGAGGAGTTTCAACCAACACTTACTGAAATCGTCATTCGCATTTATCATTTCTTTAATAATAATTAACTGTTGTTGTTTGATTGTTTTTTTTTTTGAAATATTTAAACTGTTTTGTTTGTTGTTTTATAATACAGATTACAAGGAAGGTTTTGCAGATTTAGTTCGATGCCATTTGAAATGAAATGCCAACTAACGGTCCACACTGACACGATGAGTTGAGTTGTAGGTTTGTGTGTGAGTGTGTTTTTGTGAGTCAGTTGCCGTTAGCTCCATCATTATCATGATCGAAATGCATTTTACTTTCTGGATTTTTTTTTATTTGTCCCTAAACATGTTTAGCTGCACAGATGACAAATTGTGTGTTCAACATTGATTGGCATTCGAATCGGTTTGCGTTTCCACGCTGATTTTATTCGTTTCCTGGACCGTGACATTGGCATCGGCCTCGGTCTCGGCTCCGGCCTCCGCATTGTTATTGCTCAACGTTCCCGTGCCGTATTTTTGTGAAATTTGCAACAGTTCGCGCAGCCCCTGATTCTCAACTATCAATCGGCTGATATTTTCGCGGTCTTTCTTCAAATTCTGCTCAAAATCACTGTCATCAAGCGTTGCCGCCTTCTGCATAATCGCAATCATTTCTTGGATTTTTTCCTCTTGTCGCTGGATTATCTGTAAATTGAATGAACAATCCGAAATTAAAACAATTCGACCAATATGAAGGGAATGTCAACGTTTAAGAACATAATGTGATTCACGAGAGATTATGTCACAAACAGAGAAACAACTGTCGTTGTTGCTATCACTCACCAAGCTCTTTTCCGTTTCATCTTTGAATAATTCTTGAAAATTGAGTTTGGTATTGTTCAAGGCTAACTGTGTATGCTCACGATACTTTGACATAATATGTTCCAATGCACGTTGATGATCTTCCAGTGACACTCGCAACCGCATATTTTCCGTGTGCATTTCACGTAGCTGTGGATTTTCCTGGTTGATTTGATGTATCATCTGAGCATTGGATTTATCACGAGCTATGCTATTCAATAGATCCAAATCGTCTTTAAACTGAAACAGCCAAAGATGAATAATTGCCGCCCAAAATAAAATTAGTAAATACACACACGAGAAAAAAAACGTAATTTTTGATATTTGGTTAAAACGAGAGATGAGTTTTCAGCGAAATTGGCCTCTCTCACCTGTCGCATGGTTTCCAATTGATTGTTCACCTCTTCAGCTTCGGCCAAAATGCGATCAGCATCAGCTTCGCGACTTTTCAATCGCTGTGCCAATCGTTTGGCATTCACAATAATCGATTCAAGTGATGACGATGACATTTTCCTCTAATGTATTTACAACGAATGCACACAGCATACAAAGTAACGCGCATCAACCACACTTTGTCAGGCCCAGTAGCAATTCGTATATCGAAGAATCGAAGCGAAGAAAACGACAACAACCGTGCAATTGAACTGGTTTGTATGCGATCCCTTTTCTTGTTTTAGCGTTTATTGACTCTGATTTATAAACCAATTGCTGGTTTGCTTTGACGTAAATGCAATCCAAGTACAACACCGAAGTATTGCAACAAATACCAACAACAACAAACGGCCGATTGGTTGCTAGTTTTTTCTATTCCTTTTTTGCTTGGACAAAAAAACACCGAACAAACACACAGAATGCGTGGTGGGAATCAGCTGAAACGGTGCAATGTTTTTGTATGGCGCTGCACTTTCAATGGCAAATCCAATCAATTTCATATCAAACGCACAAAATAGACCGTAAATTTTTAATTCGTTGCTCCAACTTCGAAATCAATATTCTAAATTGTGCTTAAATATAAACCAACAGAAACAAATTAACACACATACACCACGCAATTGGGTTGGTAATGTTTATTTTCTCTTTCGTTTGCTCGTTTCTTGTCCTCTTTTGCACAATGTCGTGGAAATTGCCACCACACTTTGAAACCTTTTCGTTTCAACTATGTTGATGATGACTGTTGTTGTGCCCTTTTTTAACTCAGTTGTCTTGCAATAAAGTTTTTTTTTACTGTGTTGTTTCTTCTTCATTCGTGTGTTGTTTTCGAACTGAAAATAAATTTACGCTTTTGTATGTGCACCTCTCCTTTTTCTTCACGTTACTTGGTATCTAGTGCGATGGTTTCCGTGTTATGGAGTGTGCGAACGATGAATTTGCTAATGTGTTGGTGTAGTTGCGGTGTGTTTTTTTTGCTCTCGCTACATTCACTGAATTTGTTTTCATGTATTCACACCATGTAGCAATCGAAATCATTGGTAAAATGTCAAAATGAGAACTTTCGGTTCATTCTCATATGGAATTGGATCAGTTTATGTTGGACAATGGGATATTTTTTGCCCGTTTCTTTTCCATTTTTTCTCTTACTCGACTATCGGCAATACAGTTAAAAAAAATTGTTCGTCGATAGATTTACTTGTGTCAAAATATTACCGTTGCATATGCCATCCACGAATTTGATCTGGCGCATTGATTCGGAAACAAACTTCTGACTAATATTGCCCTGTAAATCCAATAAATTCATTCAAACGCTTATGACTGAATCATTTTTATGGTGAATTTTATCGCACACGGCCGGATTTTTGTAGACGACAATTGTTTCATTCGAACGACTTATATTCCAGCATTTTATATATTCAATGCAATCGATGTGAACTGCAAAAGCACACAGTTCACTGCATTATCGATACGTCACATTGAAATAAATAAAAAGTGTTGTGTTGATTAGCACTGGATCAGTATCAAATTGAAACTTTCAATGATTGTGACAGTGCATGTGTATTTGTGCATGGATATTCGCCTCTCAATTCGCTCTCGCATGCGATGTCAATTGTATGTGTGCTTCTTTCAAACTGGTACGATTTCATATAGGTTGTCACAAAACAAGATCAACGTGTTGTTTTGTGGTTTGACACAGACCAATTCAAAAAGGACAATATTCAGTTAAAATCCAAAATATTGAACAAAAAGTCCAAATCAGAACCAAAAATAAATTACCTTTGCATATAGGCCATTCTTAAATTGTTAAAGCTATTTACGAAAAATTCCATACAAATTCGATGATTTTTTTTGGCCTCGTTTGAATATAAGAGCAGAAGCACAATACATCACTGAAAATGATACAACTTTAAATTAAAAACAATTGACATCAAATAATATGTTGAATCAATTTCCTTCAGCCTGTTTCAGCCACAGGTTCGTATGAAAATAAAACGTGTACGTCTAGAATAAGGGTGGGCTTAAAAGATGAACTCCTGTTAGAAATTTATTCGATTTATTCTAATATATAAGGGTATAACGACCGGTATCGGGTGATCACTTCCACCGTTTGGAATCCGGATCGAAATAGCGACGAGCATTCAATGCCACCACAATTCACTGCATTATCGATATGTCATGTTTGAAACAATAAATAGTGTTGTGTTGAAGTGCTCGGATCACTTTCAAATGGTCCATGCATTTGTATTTGTGCATGGATTTTCGCCTCAATTCGCTCTCTCATTCGCATGCGGTGTCACTAGTATGTGTTTTTTTTAGACTGGTACGATTTCATATAGACGACAGTAAATAATACAATAAAAAGGAATATTATTTAAAAAACGCGACGAAAAATAGAATTTTGCGATAGAATTCGGTGAACAATCGTACATTTTATTAGAAATCGAACATTTTCCATAGAACATAATAAAAATTTGCGAAGAAAAGAACAAAGTGCGATTTTATTTTCGACCGGACGATAGTCACGAAGTTGAGTTTGGTTTTTTGTTTTTGTGTGTCAAAGAGCTCTAATTGTTCGCATCATCATTCATCAGTCGCCAAAATTCGACTTGATGTGAATTGATCAGTTGCAAAAACAAAGCAAGAGACCAGAGAAAGAGAGTGAGATAAACAAGGAAAGCAAAGAGAGAAACAAAACAGAGATAGAAACAGTGAAACAAAATAATAATAACAACAACAACAACAACAACAACAACAACAACAACAGCCAAAAGATAGAATCAAAATCAAAGACATTGCGCTAGAGTGCAAGAATATTTTACGCGGAAACGCATTCGTGTGTGAAAAATTGGTATTCGGTGTAAATTTGATGTGATGTGATTTTGGTGTTGATTGATTCGGTTGAAACGCGCATTGTTGTTATTGCTCTCGTTTGTATCGCTATTTTTCGGAGCATTGAAAATAAATATATACATGTATGTATCATAGAAGCAAGCAAGTGAAAAAATAAAACACACAACAGCAAACACACATCGATGTGTAGATGATTTTGTGGCTCTGATCTCGTTTAGTTCGTTCATTCGTTTGCTCGCTATATATACACATACTACACACAACACCATTACTCATCGCCATTGGACATCGCCGTCGTTTCTTCGCTCTGCCTTTTGATCATATTTTCACGTACGTGCAACTATTTGAACCGAAAAAAGCGACACACAAGCTCTCTTCGAGGGAAAAAAAAACACACACACATATTCTATGTACACGCAAGACAAGGACAAGAACAGAGAGGAATAGGCAAAACTAGAGAGAGCGCCACTTCGTGAGCAAACGAGATAGAGCAATCAGAAAGTAAAAGAAAAACATAGAAGTGGAATAAATAGCAACAACAGTGAAAACTGAGCTGAGAGAAGAAGCAAAGCAAAGAAGCAGCAGCAGCAGCAGCAACAGCAAGAAAGCAAGCAAAAAAAATAATAACGAAGATACGGTGTATGCGTATTGGTGCGAGCACACATTTGTGTACATGGCCTTCCCTATGACATTTGTTTTGAGGTGCATATTATCACATTCATAATTCTAAAATTCAGTTATTTTTTTTTTGTCTTTCCACTTCGGGAAAAACGTTGTTGATTTTTGTTTTGGTTGCTTTTCTCTGGTGTGCTACACGGTGAAATTTGGTGCAAGTGTGTGGAAATTACGTGACATTTGATGCAATCAAATGCGAATTTGTGGTTCAAGTTGATCGAATCAATAACAAATGAAAACGCCGCCAAATCAATTGAGCTTTTGAGGTGGACCACATTGGGAACCTACTCTCATCCGTCAATCAGAGATTAACCTGTTCGTTGGTGGTTTTTTATTCACACATAAAACGAACGTTTCGACGGTTTTTGTTTCATTCTTCGTTCGGTTTTTAAAACAGAGGAAAAAACAGAATATATTTGACAGGAGAAATTGCAGGGAAATTTTCTCGTATGCAAAAATGTAATCAAACTGGCAACAACACGCTGCCACAGTAAGCTAACAGTGCATGTATGTTGCGTGTGTATATGTGTGTTTGAATGTGTTTGTGTGCATGTTTGTGTGTGAGTGCGTATATGTTCATGAGCATTGACAGTATAAGTCGCTCAAATACAACTACATCAACAACAACAAAAAAATCATCCAAATACGTGTGTTTGTAGTACGCGCGAGCGAAAAACTTTTTTTTGTATAATCTTTTTTTCGGTAAAAAAAACCTCCATACTCTAATTAAAAAGAAAAGAACGAAACAATTCATTAAAATCAAGTGCAACCAAATGTTCGATTAAAAGAAACCACCGAAGAAAAAATTAACAAATCAAACACAAAAACACTTGGCGAGGCGTATACACAATCGACGAATTTATCGTCGAAATAAGAACAGTACTCGACAAGCACAGACAAAAGGAAATTATGTGGTGATTTTTGTAGAGGTGCGTGCTAAAGAATTTGAACTTTTTTCTTCTTCTCACTTTGATGTCGAACAACAGAGAAATGAGTGATGGCAAACACAACATAAAACAAATTTCTCATTAGCAAATCCGCGATGTTTCGAAACGGCGATTCATTGAGAACGAACAGAAAAAATGCCATTGAAACGAAAATGTGGGTTTAATATGAACGAACCGTGCGATAAATTTTTAACCAATTTTTGATAGATATGCAATTGGTGTTATGCATGCAGAATGATGAGACTGACCGTCTCGGTGTGGATTTTTATGCTTCTGTTATTTTTCCAAATTTCAAAGAATAAACATCAAATTCTCCAGTGTGAACAATCAACATAGATGATTGTGGTGTTTGTTTCCCTGAAATTGTGGCGTTCAGTGGCACTTGAATTTCCATGAAAGTCAAAGTAGTCAGCAAACGGCCGCCACAAAATGGCCCAAGATGATATAAAAACGATCTAGGCTTTTTTCGATTGGTATTGACAAACATTGACATTTGGAGCACCAATGTTGATTGTGAACAGTTCTGAAAATGGATTATTGCTATGCCATCAGTTCAATGCTGATTTCGAGAGGAACATATTTTTTGAGACGAAAAAAAAAATTAGTGATTTGATGAAACGTTTTGGATTGAAACAAAAAACAGATCATTTTGTTCTTGAAACGACGATACAAACCTAGATGCTGGCGGCTTTAAAAGGGATGATCGAAAATTCCATTGCAACAATTTCTAGGTCATTTCATTCGCATCGATTCGACTGTTGCACCAAATATCATTTGTCTAAACTGTGTGGTCTAGTTCCTTATCACGTATCGTATGTGATAAGAACATACACTTTCTATTGTGTCCTTTTTTCGGTTTTTCTATTTACAATTTTTTTTGTGCAATAAACTAATCAAATGGCACATTGTTTTTTTTTTTCTGCAGGTGAATTCGGGTCCTGGCCAAAGTGAGCTGGGATTTTGAATTTGAATGACGACCAAAATAACACAATTGGTGTTGCTCTTTTCTGTTTTATCACGATGCAAAGTTTGGAATTGTCATGTCAGGAATCAGATGTAGGTGTTTGATTTTCTTCATCCCTATCTCTTTATCTTAGTTGGTTGAAATTTGCCTTTTTCCCAATCACGTTTATTATTGACATATCATTTCTTTCTCTATTCCAATTCGACATTTCAGTTTAAGTTAAACGATGCACTTAACAAAATAAAAGGACATCGTACAAGCACTGCGACCGAAACCACTACGACATTAACCACACGGTAAGTGCTGATTATCTTAATAATTCATATGTGAGCAATATTTATTTCATTTTCAGATTACCATCAAATACACAACACCAAAACCGTCATCCGACATTTAATAGTATTCAACATGTGCAAAATGTACATAATTCTTCATCAAACGAATCGAATTCAACGATGACGACACATTCTACTTCAGCGGCTACAATCACATCGCATAGCCGAACCAATAACAATAGGTAAGAATTTTGGCGGCCCATGCCAGCAATATTTGCTAAATGGATGATTTTTTGTTTCACAGTACTGATCGATTGTCGGCTTCAAAGCAAACATCACCATCAACAGCATCGTCTTCGACACACGATGGAGGAGGAGGAGGAGGTGGTGGTGTTGGAGGGAACGGTACCGATGGTATTACAAATTTGACGTCGGAAAAACAGGTACTTACCTCTGCTTAGCCAGCACAGTCTATTACAAGAATTTGATTGTCGTCATTGGATAAAATTCAATCGATGAGAGAGAGAGAGAGAGCCCATGATGATCATTTTCCTAATAATTTATCGCAATATTTTCCATAAAACGTACATTTACTATCATATATCATTCTAATTGCTTATGCCTGTTTAATTTGCAGTCTCCGTCAAACACATCGATGTCCGGGAGCACATCAGATTCTTCATTTTTTGATATTCACGAAAAACTTAGGGAATTGTATGTATATTTATATCTTAAAGATATTCAGGATACGCAGGTAGACAATAGGGTGAGTGATCATTGGAATATTTTAATAGTTTACGGCTAATTAAGCTGAAGAAATGTGTTGAATGGAATCAGAACCAGATTGAGCTATTCATTGACTTGATTTCAACTCATTCACATCACTAGAAAGGATGGATTATGCAATTGACGTTTGTCAAAGTGCAAATTTCATACTGAAATGAACGATTCGACAATATTTTCGATTGCAATCACCTGATTCAACAAGATTCGTATTTTTAATTTGTTTTCTGTTTGTAACTTCATTCTTGATGTTCATTGAATATGAAGAAATCGAATGAATTGCAAACAAGATCATGGGCGAATGTGCCTTGTTTTATGCAAACATTTCGGTTTTTATCGATTGTTCGTGACACATTTTCATTTGATATCATTCTCGTGTTGTTTCTCCTTCTTTTTCTTGTAGATTAAATTAAAAAGTCGATCATTCGTCTTGGAAACGCTGGTAGCAAGAGAAAACCTTAACACTGTCATATTAAATTTGTATCCCGGTAACAAAGGATATTCGCTAGCATTTCGGCAAGAATATCTGCCACAAAACAAAAAATACGATGGACTACATAGTATATTCAATCGGAGTGTAAGTAAATGCATCGAATCTTGTGGGAGATTCAAAGAAACTACGATTACATTTAATGACTACTTTAAACGTGGACATGATCAATAATTGATGATTTTTCTTCCTTCTTGCCTCTCTCTCTCTTTCTGTTTCCTAATCGGGATTTCTCATTTTTAGTTAACGAAGAGTCAATTATGTGGTGCTACCGAATTGAATAGTGTGAATTGTGTTCGGCAAGAGAAAGAGGAACATTTATTGGAAACGGTTCGTTGGCCATACGAGAACGGCGATCTCTTGGAATCGGTGAATAACGAAGAATTGCCGATTCTGTATATGAAACTGCTACTGTCATATGCACCAAACGCATTCTATTCGGGCTGTGTAATTGTTGAAGTGCGTGATTATCGTCAATCGTTTCCAATATCTGCATGCTGTGATAATTATTATGTTCTATTAAAACCCACCACACAAACGCTTCTGGCTGATGTCAAAGTGCTTTCAAATGAAGAGGATTTTACGCACGAAGATCGTGTTGCACTGGAAAGTAATATGGTATTGGCAACGGCCGCACCACTATGCTTGGATCCAAGCCCGAAAGTGGCACGAAAAGCATTTTACAGTCAACACAAACGTCAAATGTGGAACACATTTGCGATACGACGTCAAATGCGGAAATTCTCTCAGGTGGCCATCAATCGTAAACGAAAAACGGATCAATTTACGCATACGCAGGGTCTGGATCTAAGCGATTATTTGTTCCGGGCAAGGCAACGACCCCGTCATTTGCTATCCCAATCGTTTGATAGTTCGATCGGTTCGACGTGGAAAATACCACGTAAAGCTTCAGACGTTATGAAACCAATACGCACACCAAATCTTGACTTACCAACCACACTGAAGCCTCCATCCAGCGTGAATGTCGAACAGCTGGCTAGAGCTTATGACAAACCCAGAGAGACAAAAGACTGTATGCCAATACTTATCGAGGAGTATATTTTGGAAACGGATCGTGGCCACAATCGGGTGTACCACATTAAATTATCGATCTATCAAAGGCCAACCAATTCCGAATATTTGGGCGAATTATACGTTGATCGCGACTATCAAAAGAATTCACGCAACGGCGAAGCGTGCCAATTTTCACTCGGCACCCGCGCCCATGCCAACCGATACATACAGCAATTTACGGAGATTTTCACCGAAGAAGGACGCAAATCAGTCAAAATTACACACATTGTTCCTGGACACGCGCCAAAGGTTTCTTATACTACAGGCATGGTAGAAAGTCTGCCGCTACCAACGCAACAGAAGGGACAACAGCCACCAACACAACAACAACCATCGTTAGCGGCGGTGGCCTCATCGTCGTCGCAACAACAACAACAGCAAACTAGTACAACCAATTCACAAAGTCAACCGCAGACCACAGCACCACAATCGCAAATCAACAGCCAACAAAAGGTACACATATACATACGTTCAGTTGATTTCATATTCATGCGCCCAAAATCTGTTCTGGCTGCATTCATTTGCTGGACATTATGCTAACATTACACACAATTTTAGGTCGCAATCACATTGAAATCACCCACAACAACACATGGCATTCCTGTTGCCTCTGAGGTACCGGGACTACCAGGATCATCGCAAAATCAACCAACACACCTGAAAATTGCAAATGGCTCAGTTGTTGTTGTACAAGAGCAATCCAGTGGCAATATTTCTCGTAAGCATTTTGTTGTTGTTTTTTTCATATTAAAATGGCTTCAACTCCAATTCGGACGTATTATGCTTCCTCATAATGTGATTATTCATGACATTTTTTCTCTCTTCATATTTCCAGTAGGTGTTGCCACGATTACATCACAGCAGGCGCAGAATCAAACCAATTCACCTTCGCAGCAAGGAATCGTAACGAACAATCTACCATTATTGGTAAGCAATCACGTTTTAACTTCACTTTTCTTCCCTCTTTTCGGCTCAGCTTTGAAAAGTTCAGATCGAATGAGCGCTTTCTGAAGAGTTTGTTGAAGGATTAATTGATCCTTTGGCAAATAACGAAGACAAAAAAAAACCATGGCATTGCTGATGAAATGGCTGAAATGAGAAAATGAAAATAATAATGAATTAATCTTTTGATAGGCGCAGATATCTAATAAAACAGCTCCACAAACCTTAACTACTGCGTCTGGTAGTTCAAATGATATAAACACATTGATGACTAGCATAATCCAATCACCGACACATTCACTACAAAATCAAGCAGGTAAATGGCGAACATCCGAAATTGAAACCACATCACACAACGAAAATGGCATCAATTCATAGAAAATATTAATAATAATTTGTATTTTACAGGAACGACACCAACCCATAAATCAAATAGTAATGCAGCTATAATAAGTCTATTGAATAGTGCTCCGGCTGCGATGACAAGTTCGGCCGTTGTAAACACTTTGAATACACCATCGAATTCGCCGGTAACCATTCCAATTCAGCGACTTATCGCAACGCATACAACAAATAATACGGATAATTTACAACAATCGCAACAGGTACCAATCAATTCAAGTCAATTTCACCACTGAATGCTTATTATTATTTCTATTATAATTTCTGTTGTCGTTTGTGTATATCTTTCTTTTGTTCCATTGAAACTAATGTGCGTTTCTTTTCAAAACAGGCCATAAAGTGAATATATTTATTATAGAGAAAAGCCAAGTTTTGTATTTACCTCCTCTTCCTCACACTAAAAAAAAACACAGACTCAGAAAACAAATGAATATGAAATCAGTGATCTACTCTATTTAGTCTAAAGATGAAAATGTGCGTTTACTGTATTTTTCTTGTAAACAGGCGCAAACACAAACAGTGCTATTGAATCAGGATCAACAAGCGAATGTTCGTGTAACAATGTCTGCATTAGCTAGTCAATTAGCTTCACCACCAGCACTAATGTCCAGTTCACCCATAAATCCATCGACTTTTAATTTTGCCCAATTGAAATCGCATCAAGTGCAACAAGTATCCGCACAACCGCAACAACAATTGTTGATGAATAACAACAATAAAATTCGCCGAGATTCGTTAGCAGCACCGTCGCCGGGCAGTGATTCAAATGCATCAAGTGCATCATCGTCCAATTTAGGTAATTTTTCAATAACACCCGGATTTCCGTTCATCGGTTCGGCATCACCAACCACATCGATCATCAGCAATGAATGCAGCTCCGGTTCCATCGAACGTGTTCCAAGCGCTGACAAAAGCTTCCTTGAAGTATCAATGTAAGTGTCTTCGTGTTGTAATTTCGCATCTCGTGTGTGTACGCACAAAATCTTTTTTTCCAATAGTATGCGGTTTTAGAAGAATGAACAATCAAACTAATAAGGCAACCATACCCCCTCCCTCCAACAAAAAAAAACACACACACATACTCACAACAATCAAATTAGGTGCGGCCCATCTTCACTGTCGTCCGGATCATCGTTTATGACACCATCACCGAAAAACAATGTCACAGCAATCGCTTCACCATTGTCAAGTCCAACGCATCAGCAACAACAGCAACAGCAGGTCGATTCACCATCATCCGTCAGTTCAACGTCCGCATTTCAAATACGCAAACAAAACATTGTCACCGCCACTTCCAACGATGCAACCAATCAAAATCAAAGCAATCAATCCGTCGCCCAAACGACCACTCTCAATCTGCACGGCATCAATTTCAGCAGCCTCCAAGGTGCCATGGCCACATTTCCGGGCCTACAAAATGTGCAGGTACAATTCAAAATGCGTTTTTCAATCGGCTTTTTTTGGCCCAACAGAATGAATATCCCATTTGTTCCAACATAAATCAATTCATTAATGGTCAATTTCTGTCTCTCTCTTTCTTTCTCCAATTTCAAGGTTCAAATTCCTGGACTCGCCCAACCGATTTCACTGTCACTAACCGGAGCAACGGGCAACACTGTAGCTTCGGCTAGTCCACATCAACTTGGTAAGCTTTGTTCGCGGTAAAAATAACTTTTCATTCCATTTTACACACAACATGCGAGAAATCAGCGAGTAAATGTCATCATTCATTTGTTTTATATTTGATTATTATCATCGAATTTGTATCTTTGTAGAATACATGGTTTTTCTCTTAGTTTCAAGATTTTTTTCTCAATCAATTCTTGTAATATGTTGTATTAGAATCAATGCCAGTTTCATTGGGACAAACCACACAGACTGTCGTCTTGACAACTGCTAGCCAACAAGGACAAGGATCCGTACTTTCACTGCCAATAGGTATATAGTCAAATTCATCTCTCTCAATTGCCGCGTGTAAATTCCGTCAATTTCCTCAATCATTTTGTCATACATAATTTGTGTTTGTCTCTCTTCTGTGATTCATAGCCCAACTCGTAGCCGCGTCCAATGTTAAGAATTTGAGTCCGCAGCAATTACGTAATGTCAATGTAAATTTAGGCGCAACGCAAACGAATCAACCGCAACAAACGCATCCGCATATGCAACAACAGCGGCCAAGAAGTGTACCAACGATCGCAACATCAACGATAAATGCAAAGCAACTGGCCGCACGTGGTTTGATTACATCACAACGAAATATAGCGGTCGCACCAAATACAGCCCAAATGAAAATTACCACCCCAATCACAAGTAAAAACAAATGATTTTTTTTGAAAAAAAAAAAAAAATTATTGACCAATCTAATCTAAATTGAATTATACACTGCCAAAATATGCTAAACGCAAATGCGCGCTATGGCAATGAATCGCAATTTCAATGCGATAAAAAACAAAAATAAATTACACCATTAACAAGCATTAACAAAATGTCATCAATCGATAGCATGTGGATATTGAAAAGCAAATCAGAAGCGAAGATTGTAAATCGAACAAAAAAAAACCATAAAATGATTTAAAAGCCAAAACGTCCAAAAATTTTCTCAATGCTATGAATTGAGCTGAAGAAAATGGAATTTTGTAGTCGATAGAAATTGAAATAAAAAAAAAAACACACACATATACATACCGATACACAAACATTTATTTTGTACCATAATCAAACTGGCATCAAAAGAGACTACGTGCTATCGATGTGAAATGATCGATGATAACTTGGGTACTATCACATTCTTTTGTTAACACCCTTCCTTATTGTATATAGTCATTAATAAAAAAAATAGAAAAAAAAACAATAGAACAACTGAATCAATCAGATCACACAATTGACATAAAAACACACACCCACACACACCAACACATAATGAAATAAAAACAAAAACAAACTGAAAAACAAATCATGATTAATCCATTGATCGTGTTTCCAATCATACACAGTGGCCTCTGTACCGCATGCAACGGCATCAACTTTGGGCGCTGTTAATAACAACCCAATGCTGGTACAGCTGCAACTGCAGAAACACCATCAGACCCAGCAATTTCACCATCAGAATCAGCATCAGTAGCGGATACATGTGGATATTTGAATGACAACGGCAACCAAGATCGAAGTTGATTCGCCGGTGCCTCTTCATCAACAAATGCAGGCATATCCGCCACTCATTCCAACACATCCAGATTGCATCACTGAGCCAATGCTACACGCCAAAATGGAATGTCTTGCAAAGGGGGCGGAAGCGTTTATGCAATGTCGTTCATTACAAGTGTTTATGCGCTCGGATTTCAAAGTCGTTTGACTGATTTCGACTAGCTGCGTGCGCGTTACCGCTTGCTTTATCTCTTTAACGCAGTGTGCCTACTCTCTACGTACAATTCAACGTGTGGCAAATGATACTCATTTCGAAGGAATGCAATTCCGACTGGAAAACCATTACAGCCATGAACAAATGACAAAACAACACTAAAATCGAATGTATTCAATCAGTATAAATGCAGCCGATTGTTCAAGGGCGAAACACGAACAGTGTCTGTTTGTTAATTTATCGGATTGAAGCGCTTAAATTTTATTTTCAATAAAGAAACAAAAACAGAATATGTATGTATACTGATTAATGCAAAACAAAACAAACACAGTCCGAATTGTATCGGGTATAAAATTTAAAAGAAAAATCATACCGTTTACTCACTCACCTTGTGATTATATTCAGCCCGTTCTTCATTTCGATAACAAAACACAAGTTAAACGAAAAGGGAAAAAAGAACGAAAATCAAATAAATTTGATGTTGTATCAGTATCAGCATATAACTAAAATGCCGTTAATACAAGCAAACATGTGTATATACAAGAAAAAGATGGAAAAAGAAATTAAATAAATAAATGAATTAGAATAATAAATTTGTTACAATTCGAATTGAATTTGATGTGAGCAAAAAATAGAATATTCGAAGCGAAAGAGAAAAAAAAACACACGAAATACACCTTAGTGAAGAGCAAAATAGATGTGAGTTCAAAAGCGCCCGAATTTTATTGAAGTGATATAGATGAAACAAAATCATAAAGCAGAAAATGAACTAATAATACGATTCCGGCTAGCAACACAGCAACGCAAGGACTTGAACATACTGAAATTAATTTAATTTAATTTAACAAACAACAAATGATTAACAATTTTAAGTTACTTTCGGATCGAAAGTAGGAAAGCAAACAAACAGATGTCGTGCGTAATTTAAAATTGAATGAAAGGAAAGTATGAAAGAAAATGAGCAAATTTAACCGCGAACCGACAGACACACAAACAAACAATATTCTATATTATTATTACTTACATTATAGATTAAATTCATTTTTAAATCGATAACTGATAATGAACATATAAGAAAAAGCATTAAGGCAATGATTCAACCTAAAGAGGATGAAAAAAAGTGAGCCGGATGGTTTGGTTTTGTCAGATGAACAATCATTAAATATTCAGCTTCGACGACTGCATCTGACCAAATCCAACCGCCCCGATCACTTCCAATGAAAAAAAAGGAATAAATTGTACAAAATGAACAAATACATTGAGAAAAAAACAACAACAACAACAACCAAATACTGAGCTTGATTTTATTGTACTTTTTTCGGTTATTGATCATTTTTGTCTGAGCATTTCATGGATATAAATGGTAAGTACGAACATTCTGTATCAAATAGCTACAGCAACAGCTAACATCATTTATTCCATCACAGGGTCATCAAATATTCTGATTAGATAAATCTTCATTTTCATGTTAAATTCCAAGCATAATCCAATTAAAATTCATAAAAAATTGTTTGACAAATAGTAAGATTAGATGATATTCTTCTAATGTCACATAATGAGCGCAGAAGCAAAAAAGAAAATCTAATGAGACAAGACAAATCAGAAGACAAATTGACTTGCACACATGGCTAATGAGTTCAATGCATTCAGGAAAATTTTATTTATTATGAAAGTATTATAAATTTACACGCGAATAGAAGATTAAAAATGATTGCTCAAAATCTTTGCGAATGACTCGAACTGATCTCGGTAAATAGTAGTTTCAGAAAGGAAAAAATGCATGATGAAGCTAATTGCATTTGTGATCACTTTCTATGTTTTTTTTCTTTTCCGATCAAAGAAGTTGCAGGGAGTTAGATTGAAAAAAGCTAGTACTTAGAGTCGAACTGAAATGAAAACAGGGGAAATTCTTAACAATATGAAACATATTTGACTAATGCACTATTTATGATTTTCGAAGGAAACAAGTTACTCCATGTAAAGAATTTTTTCTCACTAATTGATCATTAATTTCTCGAAAATGATCAAAAGTAAGAAAATGTCGTCTAAAAATCTATCGTTGACAACGAAAAGAGAGCAAATTTACAGGTATGTATGGTCCATACGTTCATATGTTTATACATAACTTATATATATATCATATAAGATGTTAGAAGCAAACCGTTGCGTATCACATCCACAGATAACTACCTAAAAAATTCATATACGATTGCAAAAATGAAAAATTCAAATCAAGTTGGCATATGCAAACCGAATTGAAATTCAATGCAATCGATTAATTTTAAGCAACCAACTATTGATATCATTGAATTTGAAATGGTGTTTTTAGCGGTTCACATTGAAAATCGACCTAATATTTCTCATTTACATTTTACATTGGATCATTGTCATAATAATATTTTCACTTTCGTTGTAAACTCTTTGCCTTTTGATTGAATTCCATAGATAAAATGGCGGAAGCAACCGATTCAAAGGCAAAGAACCGTTGTGCGGTGTTTGAAACCTGATCAAAGGTTTTCACTGAAATAGAAAAAATATCGAAATAAAATTTCTTTTCAAAATGTATTACACGATTTTTAGATGGTATCTCATTTACTCCTGAAAATAGGCACCCATTGAAGTTCAATCAAATACATAATTTGAGTTTAAATAGAAAGATTCTTTAATTCTGAAAATCGGCCAAAAAAGCCTTAGGAAAACCCAGAAAGTTGAAAACATTCCTGCTCCAAAAACAGTACTGGAATAAAAAAAAATTCAAAGCTGAAACCCTGAATGGAGAAAAAAAACTAGAAGCTAAACAACTCAAGCAGCCAGTACTACATATTCATCAAAATCCCAAAGCCAGCTGCATTTGGATGTAACTGATTAGAGTCTATAATTTGGGAATAAAAAATTGGTATGTTCTTGTTCATTTTAATTATAGAGTGGCTGAGAATTCATCACAAGTTACGCATACAAAATAGAATATTGACTCGGCAGTGGGCACACCAGCTACGCACAATAGTGTTTTACTTTGCCTTATTAGCCAACTATGTATCGAAGTGTGCTATTTGCTCTCACGAAAATTTTTGTACCATCTGCAACATTTCGTTTTGCGATATATTTAGATGCGATCAATTTAAGAGACGATGAATTGAGTGAACATAATAAAAATTGATGAGCTCCTTCAATTTGAGACATATGTTGCTTTATAATCGTGCATTATATGTGCATGTGTGAAAATCGAAAATCAAACACCTTAAATGAATTGTTCCAAGTGGACAGTTCCAATAATTGTTCAATTGACCACCTGTTGGATTTTATGTGCTGCGGGCATACAGTGGGGGGCATATATACAGTGTCAGCTTTACATTGGATAGTCCTGTGGTTTGCTACGTAATGATAAATTATTGGCAAACTACGACGCTAGTGTTCATACTTATTTATCTGAAAACCCCCTGTTTGTGTGCTAATTGCAATTGACGTAAGTTGCGATCTTCCGCCTTCCACTTCAAAGGTTATAATTAAACATATGTACTTATCTTTTCAAAAGTAATGCAAAATGGCGATATCAATTAGATCAACCGGAGATTTTGTTTATGAAACTTCCAGATGTTGAAAGAATTTCAAACCTTTTCGTCCTTTTTGACAGATGTACTAAATTGAATGTTTTCTGTTTCGCCCTCTGGTTGGTGATACATACTAATATCTTCTCGCACGGTTCTTATATATTTATTGTTCATCCAATTTTATACAAAATCACTTTTTCATTCATAAATCCAATTTAGAAAAGAAAATCACAGTTATTTCGACTTTTTGCATGCAAAATGCCTAAAACATAAGAGTGAAAAAATTGTCATCATCAAGTTTAAAACACGGCACGACCAATTTCAAGTGTTGCAACTACAACGTTACATGACATTAAAAGGGTCACCGCATTCAATCAGACATAGTTCATATGATTATTTCGCACACAAATTCTACCGACATGGGGTAAGGTGATGTGAGATCGCAAACAGCGATACAAAGGGTCGTGAACAGCAATTTCCACATGACTTTAGCCTGACGCCAAACCATATTTTGTTTTATTTTATGATAAGAGTAGAATACTGGCCTGGTATCAGCATCGTCCGTACGTTACACTCTTTCTTGTATTTCTTTATTGATATAGCCATGTTTGAAATGCACTTAGGGTCCAATTTTATTTTAAAATTTTCACATTCCGATTTTGGAGTATTTTTATATCGATCGTAAAAATTGTGCTTGTAGCCCTTCTTCGGCCAATGTGTGTAGTGTAATGCGAGTAAGGTACACCACAGGCCATAAGTTTGGACACCCCTATGAAACGTTTGTTTCTACGCTTTTTGAACATTTTCACTTGAAATTTAGTATTGGATATGAAAATATATCGAAATTCTGACCGAATGGATGATTTGGAAGATAATATTTGGCCGGCCTATGGCCATCTTTTGGCCTTTGAGCTGTGGGAGCCAAAATCGAAGTCTTAAACGGGCCATCGGATTAAAAAGTTAATTACGCCATTGGAAAGGTCTTGAAAAGTAGATGTGATTTTTGGTATTAAACATCAAAATCGGCCGGCATTCGGCCAAGATATGGCCGTTTGTAATTTTTGGCCGAAATCTTCAATCAGCCATATCTTGGCCAAAAGCTGGCCGATTTTGATGTTTAATACCAAAAATGATACGTTCTCTCTGAGACCTTTCCAACGACGTATAGCATGTTGAAATTGGACAAGCGGTTTGAAATTTGAAAATTTTGGGCCAAATTCATTCATAGGGGTATCCAAACTTATGGCCTGTGGTGTATATAATGATGTTTCATATGAATTGTTGATTTTGATTGATTGGTGTGATTGTGCCAAACACTATTTTTTGATTGAAGCACTTTTTTTATGTCATCTTCCACTCCCACCAGCATAAAGTTTGGCACATCACATGTCGATAAAAAGTGCTTTGTTTGTCACTATTGTATGGATGGTTGGCTATTTTGTGTCGTAAAACGTTTACAATGATTATATATTGAACTGTTCAGCGCGTCAAGTGCGGGGTCAATGTCGTCATCACCGATGAATCGACTCAAGTGGCTGCGGTAGAAGAATACGCGAAGATGTATATGTGTGCGAAGTGATACAAGAGTCACATGATCTTCAAAATTCATCCAAAGTGAAAAGTTGTCCATTTGACTATTACAGAGGAGCTGGGATCGGAGCACTGGCTGGAGTGCAAAACACAGAGATGGTTGCCGATAAATTACGCGAAAACAAACACAAATGCATAAATGCTCATGTTATTTGAATAAACATATATTTTGACGGAGGAGAAAAACAACATTTATTGTCACCACTTATTTCTTTCACTCTCTCTTTCCAAAGACCACTTCGCACTACTTTCGGTGCGAATTCATCCTAATAAAATATTTTTGGAGCTATGCTTGGTATACCAATGCTATAGATTACCCGACAATAATATTTTATCAATAATAACCCAAGTGCGAATGCTACGTCTGTTAAAAGACGTGAGAAAGGCTTGAATGCGTGGCTCACGTATTCACGCCTTTCTCACGTCTTTTATATAATTACCACACGAAAGACGTACGTCTTCTGTGCAGTGATAAATGGTATAGCTGAAATTTCCCTCACGCCATTCTCGCGTATTCTGTATACCATTGCACAGAAGATGCACGTCTTTCAGAGAACCAATGCTGACAGTTCGACCCTGCTCTTCCATATTGTGCTTGACAAATAGAATGATGCGAAGAAAAATGCGCGCCGAAGCACATTGGACCCATAACGCAGTTGCTCGGTCACAATATCGGAGCAGAAGTCACGAATTTAAGCGATACTCATAGTATAAGCCTTATACAATGCGCCTCGTTATACGTTTGCGCCAATGGGCATTTGATGAAGGTTACTCGATTTCACCGGACAAAATCCGAATAGCACATATGTTTTGATTTGAATGGCAAATTCTTTGCAAGTACGGTCATTCGAATAGCATCAATAGCAAACGAAACGAACGAACGAACAAAAAAAACCGTATTTCGCAAATGAAAATTGCACGATGATTGATTTAAATTGATTAAGTGATCTAAGACCAACAAACGTATTTTGTTTCCTTTCAAAATCTGCGAGCATACAAAAGAAAGTGATTGTTCATTGCATATAAATATGGAAACGGGCATCGTCTATGGTGTCTAACTTTACTCACATCATAATAACAACAACGATAGAGACACAGAAAAAAAAACCGATGATGATAATTTGAGCACATGTGTCTTATGCTTTTTTTTATTTATATATATACAATAATTTGCATCTACCATCTATATACACTACCGTGCAAAAGTTTGGAACCAATAGGTATTTTTCATACAAATCGACCATTTTTGGTAGACTCATTAACATATTTCGGAAACACCTGCACTCTTGATATTTTGTGCACAGTTTCTACAACGTTTCAATAGTAAATCACAGAGGTTTCATCAAAAAATATTCATGAATTTCAAAAATATAGCAATTTGAATTTGTACTGTGTGAAAAATGATCAAATTTGTATGAAGATTAAAACAGATCAAATTCAAATTGGTATATTTATTAAATACGTGAATATTTTTTGATGAAACCTCTGTGATTTATCATTGAAACGTTGTAGAAACTATGCACAAAATATCAAGAGTGCAGGGATTTCCGAAATATGTTAATGAGTCCACCAAAAATGGTCAATTTGTATGAAAAATACCTAGTGGTTCCAAACTTTTGCACGGTAGTGTAGATATAGACTATCAGTCATTCGGCGTTTTTTTCTTCTCTCTCTTCTATCGGTCGTATTTTCAAAACTATTTACATAAACTCTAACAACCGGTTGAGAATATAAAAAAAGTCAGAGCACGTTTCGGAAGTCATGTGACTCGTTATTTCCATACACGCATACAGCAAAAGTATTGTGAGTGGATTAATACCTGGAGTGTGTCGTTCAATTGATCGGTGTACATAATACACACGTATCGAACAAGTGAGTCGTACAAATGTATCTTCTCTTTCTATCTCTCTCTCTCTCTCATTCGTTTTGTTCATCCATCCGCGCATGAATAAATTGTTGTGTATAGAGGGAGGGACATTAATATGATACGATCATATCTATTGGAGAATTGTGATTGTGAGGTACCTTACAAATCGAAAAAAATCACTTGATCAAATCCCACTGTTAACGTGCAAATCTTGGCAGTGCGTTACAGTTTGTTCTGGCTAAAGCACCGTTTCATCATTGTTACCGCTCCACGATTTCTACATTCACTGGTTTGTTCCTGACCCTCGCTGTTCATACTTTGTACGAAATTATTTTCAATTATTTTTGGAAGATTTCATTGAAAAGAATATTCTTAATATTTTTTCGATATCAAATTGAATTTAGACAAAAAATTGAAGAAATTTTGCAACGAAATTGTTTTTTTCTGTGATAAATCTTGTTCTGTAAATTCGAAAATTTCTAGTTAATTCATAACGGTCATTTTGTTGACTTATTCAGATTTTTTTTCCATATGATTCTTTTCCTTCTTTTTCCGTTGTACCGGCAATTTTTCCAAATCAATCGATATTTTACCTCAAAACGATTGATTTTTTTTTTCAAACCACTTAATTATAGTAACTCATCCGCGATCCATTTGTATTTTCTTTTGGGCATTGTAAATCGTGCACTATTTCGACATGCTAGCGAAAAATTTGATTGCTAATACCTGCATGATCTAACATTCACAACTAAGCACGATTGGTTATTTTATCTTTATTCAAATTTCAAATTGATGATTGTAATTGATAGAGATTGTGCTTCGCTTGGGCCTGTGCTAGTGGAGTTCATTGTGTATGCGGCTGTGCTCCTATTTCCAAAACACGACATTGTGAGAGTAAAACGACGACCGAAACAACGAATTTTGCATTGAGTGGCTTCAATTTGTTAGAACCATTGTTTGGACCAAAAATTATTGGAGTGTGTAATTACGAACGGTGTCAACGATTTCATTTGTTGTGAGTGTGTGCCAGTGTGCATTTTACGATCATATCGGTATTCCATTGAACGATTCATTTGAGCGAAATTGATCAAAATTAACACAGGGTGGAAGGAATAATTGAAATTTAATCAAAATTTGAAAATAAATTCCTTTTAATCTAAAAAAACATTTTTTTTCTATCCAAAAATCTGTTTCAGAAAGTCAACATTTGCACTTTAAAAGCGAATAAAGCTATTGAAAATCACATCAAAATGATACCAAGTTTATCGTTTTGGGAGAAGCCAATTGCGCGGCAGGTAATTGAATTTAAATTAGCTTTAGTACTTTGTAAGCAGTTTATCTCAGAATGGTTCAGTAGGCGATTCGTGTATTGTGAATGATTCAAAAATAGACGGCAGCCAATTGTTGCGCATCCATTGAATTCTTTTTCAAAAAGAGCCACTTTGCTCTGGTCAAAGCAAGTTCAACACAATACAATGCACCAAAATCAACATAAATCATATTTTAAAAAAATGATTTCGTTTGACAAAATGCGAACTTGATGAATTGATATTATTGCTGCAATGATGAAACATGCAGATTATGATGCCGTTAGGAATGTGTGGCGATGACGTACTGGACATTGATAAATGAGCAAATTGAAAGCGATTATCACATTTTAAATAATTGCACACGCGAATTGAAAACATGATAGCAACCGGACCGTACCGAACCATACATAGTTTTTATTTCGCTTCTCATTCTCATGCTCAAACCGCATATGAAACTAATTAGGCCGCATGATACAAATGATAATCACTGCATTCATGTTCGATTTGTTGAACGCAACGACAGTTAGAGTTTGACTGTCTGGCATTGGGTGCTTTTAGGCAATTCCATTAGATAAACAAACAGAATATCGTTCATTTTTTCCGCAATATCATCAAATTAACTTGAGCATTATCAAAGCTGTTATTTCAAGTGTTGGTGGGGATCACAATTCGAGTCTAACAAAACAGTTCCGTGCCAAAATGAGCAGATGTTTTAAATTAACTTTTTTTTTTTCTATAGGCGCTGTTATCAATATGCATCGCAATGTCATTCTTTTATATCGGTCTAGTTCGAGGCTATTCCGCACCAGCTGTTCCATCGATCATGGAAAATGATCCCGAGCTACTGCCAACCAAAAACATAGCATCATGGGCAAGTAAGACATTTTTACAGCATTTTTCTTCCATTTTCCTGTCCAAAAATGACCATTTCGATTTGGCGTTTGTTTCAATGTGAATAAAAAAAAGGTTCAGTACCTCCAAGTGGCGCAATTTTTGGCAGTATTTTAGCAGCATTATCGCTTAATTATCTTGGTCGGCGGTATACAATTATCGCCGCCTCACCACTAGCAACAATCGGATGGATCTTAATTGCAACCGCAACACGCTATGAAGTTGTGATTGCTGCACGTTTTTTGAACGGTTTTTGCGTTGGACTTTGCTTGCCATCCGCTCAAGTTTACGTAAGTTTTACATCGCTTTTTATTATAAATATTATCAATTTTACCAAAATTTCTGCAGATTGGCGAAAGTGTTGACCCAAAAATTCGTGGAATTTTGGGATCATTACCATCGATTTTCATGTCATTGGCTATATTGATCGCCTATATAATTGGCAGCTTGGTGAAATGGGATATTCTTGCGTGGTACTGCACCGTCATGTCTGGTAAGACAATTGAAAAAGGAAATATTTTCATTTCGGATTCAAATAAATCTATTCATTTCGAATTCAGTTGTGTTCGGAATGTTGCTGTTCACGATGCCCGAATCGCCAGTTTGGCTGCGCAGCAAAAAACGTCTCAAGGAAGCTGAACAATCGGAAAAATGGTTGAAATTAACACCACACACACCGGCCACAAATGAAAAAACCGAAATGGAAATGTCACACACGGAAAAACCAGCGATCGATGACAACAAATCGAAAAAATCGATTTATCTCACACGGCCAATTGTAATGCCGTTGATTATTGGACTGTCATTGCTTGTGTTACAACAAATTAGCGGTATCGATGCTATCATATTCTTCACCGTTGAAATTTTCCGTGAATCAGGTAAGCGTCTTTGAATTTTTCATTTAAAAAACGGAAGCAAAAATCAAATGGAAATAAAGAGAAGAAAAAGCCAATGAAAAAGTGAATATAAAATTAAACATGTTCAAACACATCGCAGGCAGTTCAATAAACTCACACTTGGCAACGATCATGGTTGGATTGGTTCAGCTGGTCAGCAACATAGCCGTATTGTTTGTGGTCGATAAATCCGGCCGTAAGCCACTTTTGATGATTTCAGCTATTATAATGAGCATTTCAATGGCCGGCATGGGTACGGCCTTTTATTTAAAGCAACAAGGAACCGAGAGTGTTGGGTATGTAAAACGTTTTCCTAAGATTTGGTCAAAGCATCTAACCAAATTTAGTTTGGCAAATGTAAAATTGAAATGAGAATCTTCTAATTCATTGGCATCAGCTGGCTGCCGTTGACAAGTTTGGTAATCTACATGGTTGGATTTTCGGTGGGTTTCGGTTGCATTCCATTTTTATTACTCGGCGAATTGTTCCCAGTTGAGCAGCGCAGTGTGTTGAGTTCGATTGCTGGTTCATTCAATTTGGGCGTTATGTTTCTTGTCATTAAAACGTATCATTATTTGGAACATGTTAGTAGTTATTTTTTTCGATTCCCCATTTGCGAACAAAAATTGATGCCAATTTACTTATTTATTTGAGCGCTGTTTTCTTATCTCCAAACTATGTAGATAATCACAACGGCCGGCACATTTTATATGTATTCCGTTTTTTGCGCTCTGGCCTTTATCTTTGTGATATTTGTCGTACCAGAGACGAAAGGAAAAGATTTAGACGATATTGCAAAGTTGTTCGTTAAAAATAGACGTCAATCGGTGGCTTCAAACTCGGGAGCGGTAAATAAAGCATTCAACAATAGTGGCGAACAGTATTTGGCCGTGGCAACGGTGATGAACGATACAAATGGCCTGAACAAGCAACAAGCATTGGCTAAAACAGTCAACGGAATCAATGGCAATGGCAATGGCAATGATTCCGACATCACAAAACTTTAACGACCCTCAAGCGATGCAAACAGGGCGTTTTTTTGGTTATTTGCCGGTCGAATTTTTCCACATTTCAGTTAAACATAGCGGACGGGAAAATGGCAAATAACTTTTATCAACAAATCGATCGAAAAATCCTTTCTTTTTCTTTCAATGAAAAAAAAAAACAACAACAACAACGAATTCAATTCTTTTCAAAATCATGAACAAACCAAAAAGCCAACAACAACAACATTTTATGAAACGATCAATCAAAATTCACCAAACCAGACCAAAGAGTACGCATTTGGTGTGTTCTTTTCACTTTGGAAATTCGAACCGAATGAAGAATAGTCGAGAAACCATTGGAATTGCAGGAGATTGTGGAGCTGAAAGGCGCACGCATGCAGGTAGTGCATTCTATTTCCGATCTTCAGCACACAAGACAAACACATACACGAACGTGCTGGTACGCGCCAAAGAGAGAGAAAGAGAGAAAATGAAAAATCTCGATATGCATAGAATGCATACGACAACCGAGAGAATTTAATGCCTTAAATGTCATCCAAAAATGTTTCCTGTAATCAGATTGGGAAAGCAAGGGAGAATTAGATGGCGATTTTTATTCGGTCTAATTAAAAATCACATCAACAACAACAGCATCGAGAGAAACCTCACAATGTGAAAGTATACACAAAACCACAAAACAAAACATTTGGCAGTTTCAGAGTTGTCTCGAAGCAGAAATCGTTCTAATAGACAACACACACATACAATACAACATAGCAAAAAGAATCATTTTACTAACAACAACATAAAGGCATGCGATAGGCATAAATTTAGATGTTGAATGAGTTGAGAATCGAACGGAGCGGACGAATGAAGGAATGAAACAAGGAAAAACCATTGGCCCGTGATGGTTTAGTAAAAAAGAAGAGAGAATAAAACGCTTTAAATGCTAAAAGTTCAAGTGTCATACCGTTTTCTTGCCACTTTACTTTCTTACATTTTGTTACGTTGCAGTGGATCTGATTGTTGTTCGTTTCGTTTAAATACTCAAAATAAACAGCAAAAAACAAATAATTAAAAATTTGACGAAAAACAAAACGAATTTTTGTATTTTATTTAATCTTTTTCTTTCTTCCTTTCTCGTTTCAGTTTAGATGGATGGTTCTTTAGATATAATTTTGTCAAATCGCCAAGTTACAAAAGCGAGAGAAAACAATAGTATGAATTTCGTCCGGTTGTGGTTTATTTTACTTAGTGTCTTATGTTACACACACTGCAAATTAAAGAGACATCACAAGTGAATCGTGCGCGCAATAAATTACATGAGCTTGATATGCTGCCGTCATTCTTTCAGTTGAAATCAAATACACTTATGCGTTTTGAATGTGGTTGACAAAACAAAAAACCCGAAAAAAACGAGAGAAAGAATGAAAGAAAAACCCATTGTCTGATGGTTGAAACAAACGTTTGCAAGTGACGAGAAAATAGTTTCGAATGTTGTTTTCTAATTTTGCAAAAGAAACGAACATTGTTTCTCTTTTCTAATGCGATCTTTTTCATTCCGAAATGCGGTGCAAGTGCCGCGACTGTCGCTGCTTGTTGACTCTAGTTGAAAATCGTTTTTCGGCCCGTCGCATACTGTTCGTTCGAGATATCAGCGCACAGTTATCGAGTGATCGTGGTGACGAAGTGATCGTTAAGCCAGACATTTGACAAAAAACTATTTTTTTCTTTCAAAATTTCAGTTCATTGTTAGAAATTTGCGTAGATTCGATAGATCCCATTGGGAAAGTTTACCAGTCAACCGGCAATGTGGCTGAATTAGAAACAGAAATTTAAGTTAAGCAAACGGTTAGTAAATCATTAACAAAAATTTCATCAACACCAAATCACCATTCCATTGACGGATATGTTCATTCGCAGGTTATGACAGATTTTACACAATTTTTTTATTGCTTCATTTTTTGGCAAAGTGGCTCACATTCTATCTATTCAATGTTCTTCGGTTGCCTGTGAACTAGACTCAGACCTACAAATGCGAATTTTTCTTGGCAAAATTTACATCGGTCGATTTGCCGTTTGGCTAAATCGATGTATTTCAAGTTTATAAATGAAACGAGTCCTTCATTGTTGTTTTTGTTTTTCATGTGAAAATTCTAACGACTATTTTTATCAAAAAAAAAGACGACGTAGACCGTTTCGCTTAGGAATTCATCTAATTTTGAGTTTTTTTTTGTATCGTCTTTTTACACCGTTACATATCACATTCATATACCAACAAGTTTATATTTATGACATTTTTTTTCTTCTTCTTCGGTACGCTCATCGCATTCAATGCGATCACTTTCTGTCGTGAGCTCAATTTCACTAACGGCGATACAAAATGACAAAATAAATATGAATATACATCGTATGTTATATGCGCTGAAGGAAAACTGTATTATCAAATCAACCTATTTTTAATATATACAACCAGCTCGACGCTTGTTTTTTGGCGATTTGGTACAAAAATGAACAACGAGAAGGGAAAAAAGCTGAACACTTGAACGAATGATGCCGTTTGTTTGTTGTTCATGAACTTGTGTTTGATTTTTCACGATTCGTGAAAAAAGACAGATTTTATGCACAATTTCTATTGAGCTATTTTTAATTGGTTTTTAATGAGCAAATGTTCATTTTCACTTTCTCTCTCTCTCTCTCTCTCTCTCTCTCTCTCCCTTTTTTTATTTTTCAGCAAAACCATTTCGATACGCCTGTTCGACAACAGAACAACAGAGCGATTTATTTTGTTTATTTGTTTGTTTCTTGTTTTTCTCTAAAGTTACAATGCCATCGCGAAATAAGAAAAATAAAAATCGAGCACAGCAGCCAACAACAAGTGGTACAAGTGCAACGAAAAATGAAGCGACGTCCGTTGAAATGAGCAAAGATTTGGGTCCCAGCAATGAGCCCGAATCGAAGCCAAAAGATTTGAAATCCACAATCAGTGTGGCAAAAGAAAAACTGGATCAATTGCAACAAACGGTGGATTCAATTAAGGCAAGCATTAGCCAAGCAAATGTTGAAAAAACGGATGAAAAACCAAGTGATGATGGTGGGAAAGAGCAAGACGACAAGGCTGAACAACCATTTGAAACGCAAACGATGAAGAAAAAACGGAATCGCAACCGGAATCGCAATCGAAATAAAAACTCACAAAGCAATACGACCGACGAGAGTGGCATGAGCAGTACTTCTGGAACAAATGAAAATAGCACACACGAAAATAGCCCAACACACGCTGTTTTAACGACAATTGTGTTGCCAACAAGCGATGTCATCACGTCGAAAATTACTGAAGAACCGACTCTAGTTGATTGCAATGAGCGGAAAGGCGATAACGATCATAATGACGCCGACAACATTGTAATTGAATCCCCAACTGAAACAATTCAAGCGGTTGAAATTCAATCAAGCCCAAAAATTGACGAAATTCGAACGGAAGCCATTGAAAGCGAAACTCAAATTGGTGAATCTTCGGTGAAAATTGATACAACGGTTGAAAGTGAAAAAGAGGCACCGATTGAAAGACCAACGCCAGGCGAAAGTGAATCAGCTTCGAAACAAGATGAGAAAACGAGCGAAACAAGTGGGCAAGTGGCAAAAGACAGTGATAAACGAACCAAGGACAATGAAAAACAGAAGAAAAATACTCGTCAAGCAAAAGATAATAACAAAAATTCAAAAGAAATGCCAAAGGCTGACGCAGAACCACAGAACCAAGATGGAAAAAAAGTCAATGATTCGGGTGATCATTTGGAGAAAAAGGACGCGATTGAAACGAAAGAAGATTTACCGGATGTGAAACAAGTTAGCGCCGAACCAAAGAATAAGAATAATAAGACTGTCAAAGAAAATAAAAAATCGCCTAAAATGAACAAAAAGAATCAACCAACGGAAAGTGATCCCATTGAAACGGAGCAGAAAAAGTCAGCTGAGCCAAGAGATGTCGAAAGTACACCAGTTGCAGAGAAAAAAATTGATGGAGATGAAAGTGCTCTGATTCAAAAGATCGAGCAGCCTAAAGAAGCGGCTGTTGAAAGTGAACAATCATCATCGAAGATCACTGAACAACCGACGCAAACTGAACAACAATTAGAACAGCCAATCGAACAAATACCATTGCCATCGGATGAGCATCAAACGGAAAACATTTCACAGGGATCGAATATAGATGAACAAAAACCAGAAGTTGAAAGTGGAAGCAAGCAGGACGTCGTAGTGGAAGAACAAACAATAATTGAACCCAAAATCAAGGAAGAAATCCAGGAAGAGACTAAAGAAGCAAAAGTTGAGGAAAATAAGCGAGAAACCAAACAGCAAACAACTGAAGCGAAACCAAAGGAGTCACCTTCTGGTTCACCGAAAGAGTCGAAAAAAGCAAAAGGTAAAAAATCACCACCTCAAACTAAAGGCCAAAACGGGCAAAAGCAAAATAACGCTAAAGAGATTACGTCAGAGACGAAACCCGAACCAATTCCAGAAAAAAACGATGAGAAATCCAGTGATGAACCACCTTCAAAAGACATAGCTGCAACTGAACCATCGAAAGAAGTCAAATTGAATGATCCGCCGAAGGAATTACCGACAAAACGTGAAGAAGAGCCCGTCAAAATTGAGGCATCATCTGAAGAGACAATAGCAAATAAATTAGAAGAAGCTCCCAATGTCAAAGATACAAAACCGACACTGAATTTAGAAACAACAAAAGGTGGGAGCACTTCGGCCGTGCTTGAGCCAACTGCATCAACTTCGAATGTTCCACCGAAAATCGAAACTGAACCAAAAAAATCTAATTTAACCGTTGGCCCATCGAATGATGCGGTGACAAAAACACCGAGCACAACACCAGTTTTAACAACTCCCGCCGCTGAAGCGTCCAAAAAGCCGACTCCACCCGAGGATGAAGCGGCCAAAATATGGCAAATACTTGAAGAAGCTAGCAAAAGTTTAGAACCCGTTGAAATTGAAATGCCAGTGATGCCAACGATGAACTCAACTCCTGAAGTCACAGCGCAAGTTATGTGTTTGTCAAAGGATGAACAGCAAGTGAAAGAAGAGACACACGAACTTGTCACAATACTCGAAGCAAAGGAACCAATCAAAGCAAAACAAGGCACTCCACCAAAAGCACCAAAAACTAAGGAGATTATTCAACAACCGAAGCAGAGTAGTCCTACCAAAACGGTCGAACCGCAACCAAAAAAAGCTGTAGATCCAAAAAAGAAGCAACAACCAACATCAAAGAATACAAAGCCAAACAAAGCGTCTCAACCACAAACTAGCGCCACACCGGACAAGACGACTGAAAAAATGTCTGAAAAAACACCCGAAAAGACAACGACCGTCGCAGAAACACCGCCGATTGAGGTAAGCAATGAAGCAATTGCGGTTCCAGCTGAAGAAGTTCCGCTCGATGTTAGTATAATCCCGAATGAAATTGAAGTGGCCGAATTAAATGCCGACTCAAAAAACGTGCAAGGAAGCGATTTTGTTCCGTCTGTTGAGCAATCAGTAGCCGAAACAAAATCGCTTGTACCCGAAAACGATGTGAAGGTTGTTGAGGTAGTTCAATTGATGCCATCAAAAGACAGCAAATCGAAAAGCAAGAGTCCAATCAATGTGAAGAAGGAAAAAACGCCCAATCAAGCGAAAGCACTACCAACGACCAGTGAAGATGTACAAGAAACTAAAGAGATGGTTCTTAAGGGAGAAAATAATAACGAAACGGCCGAAAATACAGTGAAACTACCGACGGAATCAACCAAATCTCAATCAAAATCACCATCAAAATCAATGTCACCCGAAAAGAGCAAACAAACGGTGCAGATCAATAAACAAAAAGGGGGAAACGCGAAAAGTGCTCAAGTAAAAACCACTCAAAATAATAAGAAAACGAATGGAAAACCGTTCGTTCCACCAAAGCCCGATAATTTGGTCAGCAGCCAGACGAAGAAAGCCCAAGTGGCTACAACGAAATCAGAGTCGGCTGTCAAATCAAAAACGGAGAAAATTCTCGTTTTGACTGGCAATATTGAAGATGATGACAGTGAAGATGATTATATTGAATACAAATTTATGCCACGACAAGTTTTCATCTCGACCATTTGTCAAGCGTGCAAAAAACCAACCACGTCGTCCGAGCGTATCTTGTGCCAGCTCTGTCAAATGGTTTCATACTGTTGTGCCGAACACGGAGCAAATGATGAACCCATTCATAAGGACCTTTGCGCAGCACTACAAGAAATTGCAAAGAAACGAGGTACGTGAAGAAACTATTTTTCAACGATATATATTCCGGAATATTTAGACTCGAATTTTATTCATATTTTTTCCTTCGATTTTCTTTTTCTTTTTATTCTTCTTATCCAACTCGCATGTTCACATTTACAATCTGAACGAAAAACCATCCCAGGCGGTCATATTTACAACAATGCTCGCATTCTCAATAATAATGATTATCGTAGTTTGCGTGTTCACACATTGAATTTATGTGAGAATTTCTTGAAACGACCTCTTGAAACTTATGAACGGGAAATTTTGCTGTTCCCGCGCTTATGTTCAACACCGACGTGTCGCGAATGGCGACAAAATCTACTAACTGATTGTCCCGGCTGTGGTCAGGTAAATTGAAGACATTTCCGTCCGTGTGAAAAATAAATGACTGACTGTAACTGAAATCTACTAAGAAACGACTTTAGTTAACTGAACAGATATTTTGTATCGACAGTGAGGAAATATCAGCTTTTCGCTCATTTTATTAAAATCGATTAAAATGCTCTCTTTTTAAAAATAAACCATTTTTACATCGAAATTGTCTACTTACCAGGTATTCTACTGTACCTCTCAACCGGAGCACTTAGTGGAATCGCATCAACGATGGTGTAAATCGGTTGCACTCTATCAAAAATTAGTGGTGACGCAAAGTGTTTCGGGTCGTATTGAGCCCAGTCTACCGTCTCGAATTCAAGCAAAACCATACACGCTGCCAAATAACATCGGCGATGTGTTCAAAGATCTGTACAAGAATTACTCAGGTTGTTTGTTAAATATTCCGATTCTTGATTTGAAACATTGAAATTAATGCAATTCTTTTATATCTTCTTAAGCCATCAAAGATGATTGTGTATTCGCTACGCTCACCCAATTGGCAACAGCACCGTTGACTGCTTATTTTGCTACACAGAAAGCCGGACAACAAATTGGTGAAAAATTCACGATCCATCTCATTGGAGCGGAGCTACAGTTTGAAGCGGACGTTTTAGACATCTGGGAAACATTTTTCCTACATTTGGCACACAATCTCATGGAATTGACAATTGTATTCTGTGGCCCGGAATTGAATGCCGAAAATATACCGTTGGATATCATCAGCCGAATTAGGTAAGCAAACTAGCAAATCTTCGAAATGTCTATAAATATAGAATGGCCAAAAATGTGTGAGCCACTAATCCACGCTCAAAATTGATAAAAATCGCATTTTTTTCGCCTTTGAACAGAATGTGCCGAACATGCCGTCAAAATTGTCGCATCGTTAAATTTGATTTTCAATGCGCCAAATTTTACCATGACTATGCCAATAGTAGTGCCTATAGCAAGCCGGATTTAAGTAAGATTCCATCACAACATTCGAAGCAGAAGATAAACGCATGAAAAATATGATAAAATCGCTAATCTTGTGTGTTTGTTTTTTAGTTTGTTTCTTCAATCCTGGTTTTCATCATATTAATAGCTTGAATGGCTTGGATACTTGGTCGGAAACTATAAAAATAGCATCGAGTTCGGGTTGTCCAGTCGTTGTTACATCCTATACCGAATTTGAATCACCTCGCGATTTGAATCGTTTCCAAGGCGAATCAACCAATGGTGGCAAGCAAATGAGGCTGATTCATGGACCTGAATTCAATGTTTATTCATCGCAGCGTCCCGAACGCAACTTCATTTCCGATGAAATCGTGCCATTGATTTTTAAGAATTACTTTTGTTTCATTATGAAATGAGTTGGCTGTGGCTTTCATTCGGGCGCACAAGTCAATTCATTCATCGTTTTTTTTCTTTCTTTTTTTTCGTTGCCAAAAAAGAACAGAATTTGTCGTAAACTAAGAAATTCGTTCATTAGCTCAGTCAAAATCTAAATAAAAACGGTCATTAAAACAAAAACTGGTTCAATTGTTGAAAATAATTGTTTTATTCCGAAGAAAAGGAATTGTACTACCTAAATCGTATTACGAGAAAAAAAACTTATGAATTCTCGCAAACTTGTCCTTCTCTCAATAAAGTCGACTTAAATCTCGAAATGCGTAGCGTCTGCACACAACAGCACGTCAATAGTGGTATTATTATAATTGTTCTTTTTTGTATTGTTTTTCGTTTGTTGTTGTATGGAAATGCGTTTATATTTTGTTGTTGTTTTTGTTTCAGTTCAGTTGATTGAATCAATTCAATGTCAATATAATGATCGTGTGAGTTTTTGTTTGTTTGTTTAAAGAAATGATTGCAAAGTGATAGTCTTTACGTATAAACGGTTAATGTAAATGAAAATCTTTTAAATGATTGTTGCTATTGCTATCGAACAGGCCAACGGCCAGCAAAAGATTCCTTCGTGTGAAATGCAATCCAATGAAGGGTGACGATTTGGTTGGGAAGCTTCGCAGTAAGTATGGTTCGCCATCTCGAACATCTGGATTATGCGATACGTTTACATTTTCGCCGGTAATGTCTTCGCACAGTTTGGTAAAATCCCATAGCCGAAGTGTACAGTCGAGCGATCCAGTGGCTAATATCGTGCCATCACGACTAAAGCACAGTGTGTGTACGGTACTCGTGTGTCCGGTGAATGCAGCGATTAAATGACCGTATGCCAAATCCCAAATTAGGCATCGACAATCAGCTGAACCGGTGGCCAAAAATCGGCCGCACATACTGAATGCCATCGCATAAATGGCCGCTTTATGGCCAGTCATCAAACGAACAAAATTCCCGGATACACAATCCCACAGCCGTACCGTTCGATCCGATGAACCGGTTGCAATGTAATTGGAATTTGGATGGAATAAAACACAATCCACATCGGATAAATGGCCCAAGAACACTCGCAACGGTTGATGTGAATCGGTTGACCATAAACGTGCCGTTTTATCATGTGATGCCGTGGCAAAGTAATGGCCATGCGGTGAAAATCGAACATCCCACACTGGATTCAAATGACCCTTGTACACCACCAAACACGTCCATGTTTGCAGTGACCACAAACGAATGGTTGTATCTTCGGAGCAGGATAGTAGCATTGTTCGATCATTCGAGAAGGCAGCACGATACACGGGACCATTGTGACCAAGCAACGTTCGACTCGATTCAGCTGTTCGATCGTCCATCATTCGAACCAGCACATCGTCTGTAAAGAGAATGGAACGATTGAGTTAAGCTTAGTTTAAGAGATAAGCTTCGTATGTCACATACCCGCATCTTTATCAACTTCCTTCAATTGATCGGCCGGTTTCATTTCGCGTAGTTTGCCCGGTGTCAGCGACCAAACGCGCAGCATTGAATCGGCAAAACCGATTGCAATCAAACTGGTGTCATCACAGATTTCCGCACATGTTACGCTATTCGATGAATTTAAAATGGTGTAAAAGCATACGGACGGCAAACTGTCCGGTCCAAGCGGAACCCGTTTCATGGCCTCACGCATCGATCGCACCTTTTCCTGTTTGTCAATGTCACGTAATTCGGGCAATGGCATTCGATCGATTGGCGGTGCATTTGGATCGGATTTGGATTTTTTCGAAAATAATGGATCTTTTTTGGATTTTTTCTTCTTTGGCTTGTCCGGCGCATCGGGATCCAGATCGTCATCTTCCTCTTGGGGCTGGGCCAGCGTTTGCATATCGGGCTCTTTCAACAGGCCATAGTAAACTTTCACTTTGTTATCCTGTCGCTTCGCCTCACCAGTCATTGCACCGGCCGTCGCTTCACATTGTGCCTTATTCCGAGCAACACCTTCATACAAATCAAAATACAAATGCTCATTCACAATGTTCATGATCACCGATTGCTTTTTCTCCTGCAAATGCCGTTTCAGCAGCGATAATGTGTCACGTGAAATGCGAATGATAAACTCATTGGATTTAAACGTTTCGGCCAAATCGTTGCCACTCATCTGATCACGTTTTGTAACGGTGGCCAATCGTGTGATATCTTCATGATAGTAATGCTCTTGTTCGGCGCCAAATTTCTCAATCAATTTTTTTGCCTGCTCTTCGTGGTCATTGTAGACCAGTTCAAGGTACATGTGAACAAACACCGGATACAATATCATCGCCAATTCATGCTAAAATTTGACCAAGAAAAAAAAATAAACAATTAGAAATCAGCACCGCTTTGAGCCTTCAAAACAAAACAAAAAACAACTGTTGAATGAATCACAATACTTTATAAATATCCAATGATTCGTCGACGAATCGCCTCAGTTCCAAATAGGCATATTCATACAGATCTGGATCGCCTTCACTTTTGTATGCAGCTAAAACACTGCTCACATCTGAGTCGACCGGCACATTGTCCGGAATATCGGTGAGGTTTGCCTCTTTCTTCAATTGCTCCTCCGCACTCTGTAAACAAAACAAAACTCTTTCTTCGAATTTGCGAATTTCTTCAGAGCATCACACACAAACCTTGTAATTATACTTTCGCAATAGTTGTAGCACCGCTAAAATTTCCGTTTTATTTTGAGCCATCGTTGTTTGCCGTTTGAATTATTTTAATTGTTTTTCTCTTCTGCTGCTTTTTTTTATTCTTCTAATTCGTCAATAAGTTTCGTTTATAAACTAGAATTAACTATAGATTTTCAATGAAAATGCCCCGACAACTACACATACGCTTGAAAAATATTTTGATGGAAATTCAAATCGTGCCAATTAATAAAAAAAGAAACAAAACAAACACAACACACTGCTGGAATTTCCGAGGTTATATGCAATATTTTGTGGGTTTTAGTGTGAAGAGTCCGTTTTGTGTGTTTATTGCTCCGAAAATATCGAAGCCAAATGTCATCGGCAATGATGGGTGCTGGTGCTGCCGCGCTGACATAGCCGATACTTCTTCTTCTTCTTTTTCTTCGTCGTCGTCGATTTGTTGTTGCTGTTGTTTATTGCGTTTCGTTGAGTTGAGATCGGTAACGCAGTGTGGCATGATACGTATGGGAGAAACCGGTGTTGAAAACACACAATCAATTGCAATCCGTTTTCTTTTTTTTGCAAATCATCAAGTTTTGTATGAGATAAAATGAAATTCAATGAAAAGAACGCAAGCAGATGTGGAGAAATAGTGAAATATTTTTGGAAATTTGTATGGAATATTTTCTCTGTTGAAAATATTGCCTACAAATTGACAGAGGCAATAACAGCAACAGCAAAAATCATTGCTCTGAGATTGAATTGAGTGTGTCAGTGAATTGGAGGAGTTATCGATAGACAGTATGAAAAGTCATTGCAATTCTCCACTTGTCGTCTGCCAGTTACACACAAAAAACTCCCGTCGTATCTATCATGATAAATAAAAACAAGACAAACATTGGTTATATGGACTCGTCGTTCGGTATACTTGAATTAAATCAACTTCATTTACAATGAATGAGCGCAGAAATAAAATTGCGACTGGGATAACTATAAATGAAATCCTTCTTTTAAATTCATTGTATCATTTTTATCATTATCATTGGAAAAATTAGCAACGACTTACATTCCCTTCGCAGAAGGTTTTCTATGGTGAATTCTCCACACATACACACACACATAAGTCATCTTGTTAAACTTGCCACACACAATGCGAACGATGTTGATTGTTTTGAACCGAGTCGAATTGTGTATAGCGTGTGTTTTTCTTTTTTTTTTGGGTAGAAACGTCAAAAGCGAACATGCACCCGCACATTGTTTGGTACACGCACACACACGAACAAGGCGAACGAGCAAGCGAGTGAGAAGCACACACACACAGGCACACACCGAGTAGAGGCGAACTGTCAAAGTCAGGGATAACAGACAAACAGCATTCTGACTTGTGCAAAGAGCAGAGATAGGAAGCATATTTCACGGCAGTAGATAGACAAAGAGGTGTTGTGTGTTTATGGCGTTTGCGCACCGAATATCCCGAAACTCACGATACAACGACGGAGATGCACATACAAACTATATAGAGATGTGGTGTATACACCGAGTGTAAATTAGAAATAACATTGAAAGGAAAACGACATTTCTCTCCAATGTTTTGTGTGTTCGCGTACAATTGCCTTTTAGACATCATCAGACCTTTACTGCCATCGGAGTTTATCACACAAATCGTCATCGAACGTTTCGGTGCAATCACACACACACAGAGTGGTGGGTGAAAGATTCAACGAGTGAGAGAGAGCCAAAAAAAAACCAAACAAACAAAACAAACACGGGAAAAATTCATTCGAACCGAATTTTACGAAAAACGAGTCGAGAGCATAAAAGCAGACAATTGGTGCAAAGTGTATTTAATGATAAAAATTATTGTGAATCTTCATGAATTTATTTTAAAGGCAAACAGATAAATTTCGTCGGCCTCGCGAATTTCAATGTGTGTGATGATAATTTCGAGAGTGTGTGAACAATAATCCGTGAAGTTTCCGATAATATTTCGGTAAAATCAATTTCGTGTTGCGTGTGTTTAGTGCTCATTGGTTTTTTTTTTTGTGATTGTAGTTCAGAATCGTTGCTTTTTCCACAGCACCATGACTGTGGCAAACAGCACAGACAAATGGTTCTAAGAAGAAGAAGAAAAAAACAAGCCGGAGACTGATAAATTAAGCCAAGGGCAAACATGTAAACTGTTCTGTCACTTTGAAAGGGATTCAATGTTGTTCACAGTGAATGAAAATAGAAGAAAAACAGAAACAGAATTTATTCCATCGACACTTTTGGTGGCTGACTCGGGCCACGTTGTTTTTAATAGTTGTTGTGGGCATTTCAATTGTTCAATATCATTCACTTCTGTCAAATCGAATACACACAACATGTAAATGTGTTCGATTTTGTGTTGTGATTTTTCGTCGAACAAATCAAAATCATCTCGTGCAAAAGTAAAAATCGAAAAGAGTTGCATTCACGATTTATCAGGGCACACTGCATGGAATGCCATTGACCAAATTAACGAGAGTGAGATTTACGAGGTGCCGCCGACAATGATACAGTGATAATGTGACATTTCTGCACACATTTCAGTGTCGGAGTTCGGTTCCCTTTTTTCCTTTTTCTATACACGTATACAAACAGCATGTGTGTGTGTTGTTCCCACTTCTGGCTATTTTTAAATCTCTATCTCTGTCTGGCTTCGATCTATCGCTATAAAAAAAATTCTACAACCACAACTGTTCAATTGTTGCCCTCCCAGCGTGTGTAAATGTTGAGAAAACAACAACAACAATATAAACACAATCAAAACATTTAATAACTTTGAATCGCCTAACAACCGATTTCAAGCAACATAAATCTCGGCATTTTATGTCGTAATAATAAATCCAATGCTGCAATTGTTTCGCGTAACAACAATAATAAAACCAAACTAATACAAACCCAATGCAAGCTTCAACAACCGAGTACTTAACCAATTAGCTATTGCACATATGACCGCGACAATATCGAAAGCTAACAAATATATAAACAAAACAGTTTATTTAGTTCGCATTCTTCCTGCACATCTGTTCGCGAGCGATGCTTGAAATTACAAATGAAACAAAAATAACATGGTAAGCAAATGCGGAAAAAATGTGTAAATTAGCAAGAGAATTAATTGGTGGAACAAAAACGACAACAACAACAAAAAACGGAAATAGAAGAAACAAGGGCACAGATTGAATTTGAATGTGTTCATTCATGGTGATCAATGCGGCGTTGTTGTTGATAGAAAATGTTTCATTTTTCTCCAGTTGCTCAAGTTGTGTGTGTGGGTTTTTTTTTCTTCCTCCAAGCAGTAGTCTCTGGGTATCCCGTTGATTTTGCATGCAAGACACGACACAGCAAAACCTAATTATTATTAAAAGTCCAGCCGAGTTAATTAGAGTGAACGAATGTTTAAAACGAACAAAAAATCAGGTTGCTCTCTCGTCTTTGTGTGTGAACCATCTTGACTACAAAAAAATTCATTTATTTATTTCTGTTTGCTTGCTTTGAAGTGAACTTTGAAATTTCCACCTGCTTGATGTTTAACAACTGGACCCACTCGCCACGAAAAAAAGCCACCCACCCACACACTGCTGGAAATTCTTTAACATTTTCTTTTGAGCTATACGCTTTTTGTTCCACATTTTCTCTCTCTCTCTCTCTTACACGTCTTTCTTTCCGTCTGCTATCCGACAGCAAATAATTCATTTTTAATAACAGTAACAAAAGTAGTAAGGTCATCTAATCATCAACGGGCTCGTGTGGCTAGTTGAAACTGAGGTGGAAAGAAGAAGAATAGATAAAACTAATATTTTTCCGTTTGGTGTGGACATTCGATTCTTGAATTGTTTGAAATAGAAAAAAATAAAAAGATCGTAAATCAACGGTTTGTGCGTGTGAACAGGTTCACATGTGATACATCGAAATAATTCGTATTTACGAAGATTTTCACCCTAACTTTATTTTAACCAAAATGGACTTGCAGAAATAAGTTTACATTACGAGCGAAATAAATTTGAAGTGAAAGAGAGTGAAAGATAAAGATCGTGACACACACACACACACATACACATAAAAGTATAAGAGTGTGAGAAATCTGCTGGTATTTTACTTTTGTTGCCCCAGTAAAACTGATAAATTCACCCGACAAATCCATCAAACAAAAATGTACGCGAGGAGAATGTGTTAACATGCAAGCGAAAAAGCGTTATATTTTAGTATTTGTTTCGTGTGCATTTCTTGCATACTGTTATTTTGGTGGCTATCGACTAAAAAGGGCGCGCGGCATCACGTCATTTTCAAGCACGGCAAACATTTGCCATCAACGTCATGAGCGTATCGTTGTGCCACCGAATCTTCCATCATTTCTATCGCCAATCGAATGCAATGGTATCATTATCAGCAGTGATTTCAGCCACGGCGTCGGCAGCAGCAGCAGCAGTAACAACAATAACAACAACAACATCGATTTCGATGAATATGCAAATGGTAAAGGCACTGCTATCGTACAGCCCAGCCATTTTAACAGTAATGACGATGCATTTCGTCAAGGATCTCAAGTATCATCCGCAACTGTGCAAACAAATGCCAAATTCAAAGGTATGTACATCAAAATCGATAAATTTACTATACGTAGCACACACACGCAATCGAAAGTTGCTCGCATTTCAAATAAGTACAACAGTCAATTTGGAGCCACTCCAATCGCAACACACCACTAGAATAGATAGATTGTAGATTCGATCCGATCGATATGTTGTAAATTTATTTGTATAAATTAATTTGTGTTGCAGTGGAAAAGGAAGAGGTGGATGTGGCCTTGCAACCGATATCGAACAACAACCAAATGGTTCCACCGAATGCAAACAACAACAATAACGACGATGCCGAGGCAAAAGTGCAAGTGCCGGTCGTCGAGCAACCAGCTATCGTAGTTGGTAATGCTGGCGAGGCCGGAAATATTATCGATGGTTTGGCCAAAACATTTGATAAACATCATCGCACCAAATCGTCGTGCCGTATGGAAACATGCTTCGATTACACCAAATGCAGTGATGTAAATCAACAACTTTTAGTGTATGTATATCCATCGGATACGATCAATCCACTTGGCAATACACCACCGATTAGTTTAAATTATCGGAAAATTTTGTCAGCGATTACCGAAAGTCGATATTATACGGCCGATCCGGAGCGTGCATGCCTATTCGTACTCGGCATCGATACGCTTGATCGTGATTCGCTGAGTGAGGACTATGTACGGAATGTACCATCGCGCCTACAACGTTTACCCTATTGGAATAACGGTCGAAATCATGTCATTTTCAATTTATACTCGGGCACATGGCCCGACTATGCGGAAAATAGCCTTGGCTTTGATACGGGTGAAGCCATACTGGCCAAAGCCAGCATGAGCGTACGACAAATTCGGCCCGGATTTGATATCAGCATTCCATTATTCCATAAACAGCATCCGTTGCGTTCCGGCAACACGGGCTTTGCTGTCAGCAACAATTTCCCAACAAACAAAAAGTACCTGTTGGCATTTAAAGGAAAACGGTAAGTAGCCTACTTCATTATTTGATTTAGTTTGTTTTTTTTTCGTCTCTCTCGTTCTATCTTCATCTCTTCTAACTTCTTCTTTATCTATTTACTTGGGTGCTGCCGTTTTATCTCTATTCAATTTACGACAAATTGTTTCTGCAAAGAGTCCATTAGGGGAGATTTTGTGTTTGAATCAAATTTATTTCTTCTTCTTTTTCTTTCCACGAAAAATTGATAAAAATGAATCTTTCATCGAATCAAAGACACTAATTACACGCTTGATTCCTTTTTGTTTGTTGCTGCGACACAGTGTAAGAGTGAGAGTGAAAGAAAGGGAAAGTCCATGGGGCATACGCCCACAACACGAAATTCAAGTGTTTTCTATTCACTTCATAAATCAATACATGTCTCTCCCTCTCTCTCTCTCTCTCTGCATTTTCTCGTGAATGGAAGGAAATTGGAGCAGACAATGTGAAATGGTTGGCTGCTGAACGATTTATCCGAATTAAATTTGAAAGCATGCCTTCAAAACTGATGCAGACGCAATTTTCAAATGCTAAAATTAATCTTTTTCGAACTCCAATACCAACTCCATTTATTTCAACCGACGCAAACCAAGGAGGAACGCACTCACACATATACACACACACCAAATTCGAATACAAAACCAATTTGTGAAGCAAATCGCACTAGCCACCATGCTCGATGCCTCTCGCACACCGGATGCCCAGGAGTTGGAAAAATAAATAACAAAATAAATATGGCTTGGCATTTGCCTATTCAAATGTTGCCATTTCCAATTATTCATAAAATTGAAATTTATACATAATGAAGTCGCATAGTATTTTGTGTCGGCTCTACGCTTTTCTCACCAACTATAAGTTCATAATTTCTCGTTATTCTCGTACTTCCATTTCAATCGCGGTAATAATTATTGATAGCCATTTGCAGTGCACGGGAGAAAGAAAGACAGAGAGTGAGAGAGAGAGAGGAACGTGTGCGGTGGAGTATAAACGATTTATTCAGATTGGCATATATTTATTATTTGTTTGCAAGTCTTTGAGACGTGCTAATTATTATTCATTCGACGTGTATTTTCACTGCAGCTTTTTCAATAGTTTTCTATTTTTTATTCATTTCTCTTTGATGTGTTCGCCTTCTCTCTCTCTCTCTCTCTCTCTCTATTTTTCGTGCTCGCTTTCTATCCTTCTCTTTACATTTTCTCCTTGTTTGTATTTCCCGTTTCCTCTCTTCAGCTTGCTGTATGCTCGTTCACTCGTGCTCTTTCTCTCGATGTATTTGAACAAACAAAGCACAATTTGATGTCAAGAAATTGCGACGCTCCACATATTTGTTTCAATAGATTTCATTGTTTTGTTTCGTATGACGCTAAGCAGCATGCATTCAGCATACGTTGCGCCGATAATGAGCCCAGACCACGAGTTCTGTTTTCTCAATTTCACACATACTGTATGTGGCTTCTCATTTGATCCGTCGGTTCTCTTTTGCATTTTGCTCCCTCCCGCTCTCGATCTCGCTTTCGCTCGCCCATTTTTTTGTCTCATTCATTTGTTTATTTGTTTCTTCTCTGTTCATTCTTGGCGCTGTTCAGATGGCTTAACGTTTTGCAATAAAAGTTAATATGAATGCGTCCCGTTAGTTGCTCAATAATCATATAATACGGCGAAAGTGCATGCGAAAGCAGAAATATGTGTACGCATAAAAGTGCATTTTGGTTTTGTGTTGTTGGATGTGATCTCTATCTCTCTCTCTCTTTTTCTCTCGTTCGCTCGCTCATTCTCTATTCAACAATGTTTTCCGCTTTAAACCAAGCACATCACCCGCAATCGGAAATTATGGCATGCATATTGTGCGACCGAAGCGGATAGAGAATGAGAAGGAGAGCGCGCGAGAGTGTGGAGGAGTATGGGTGTGGGCCGACAAAACGAGAATAATCCATCGACATACAGTGTGTGTGTGTGTGTGTGTATGTGTGTGGAATCCACACTATTCATTTTATTATCAAATCATGACATATGCTTGAAAGTGATAGCGCAATTTAATGCTGATATAATCGGCATTTTTGCCCCATTATTAAAGTCAAGTCATTCAGTGATTTTTTGTGTGTTAGTCAATCGAATTAAGCCAAGTCAGTTCATTTACTCAAAATTATTTATCACAAACGCTGTGCGCGCTCTTCTTTGACATCCACTTTGTATTTTTCTTTTCTTTTCACTCTCTATATTGCTTGGTCCCGTTTTTTTCTGCTTCACTTATTCCCATTTTTTTGCTTCTTTTTTTTCCCCAATAAAAACCCGGTGAAACTCTTGCAAGCTAGTTTTTGTGTACACTTTTGCGTTCACTCAAAATCCAAGTCAGCGATTGCTGCCAACAATTATAAAATTAGAGCAAATTTTAATAGACGCTAGATTGTGTCGAAAAAGTTTTGTTGGGCGCACGTTGTTTGGTGAAAAGTTTCAGTCTCCAATTTGGATTGGGCGAAAGCAAAAAAAAAAGAAGAAGAAAAAATACGACGAAGAAAAAGAAATGAAATTGTTAAAACCAACACAAAATGCATCCAATCTCTCTTTAACTCGCATATATATTCGTTTCGTATCGAATGGTTATTGCATGTCTGTCGAGAGTTTGTTAACATTTTTATTTCGATTGCATCGACCAACTATCGAATATGATGAGAATGGATACAAAGAAATGTACAATCGGAAAAATAAAAATGTTGCACAATTTGAGCAGCAAGCTGCTTATTGTTGGTGTGGAAAAATTGAAAAAGGGTAAGAGGGCAGGGTAGTCAAGGATTAATACGGACAGAGAGGGAGAGAGAGAGGAGAAAAAAAATTGGATCAATCATCATAAAAACTCATTAGTAAACTTTTTCCAACACTCAAAACATGCCAATAGACTTAATGGTGTCGACGCGCTGGCACATGGAAAAGCAAAAATCAAATATTGCCATTTTCCAAACTAAATAAACAAATAGCACGAAACAAACTCCCGTTCAGTTCAGTAAAAATGCTTCGATTTTGTAGCGAGAGAGAAAGCGCGCTTTCACGCACGCAAAAATGAGAAGGATAGCAAATAAGAGAAATAAGAATCAGTTCTCTCTCCATTGGGTATATGCGAAGAAAGACACAGCAAAAATAAGAAAAATTGCAAAAAAGGAGAAAAACTCAAGACCATAGAAGAAGTAGGAAAAAAAACCATACGCGAAGGATATCAAACAGATAAGCTCCTTATTCGCATACACCTTGTCTACATCTATGGTGGCTTACTCATTCTCAATCCAAGACAACAAGAAGTGGGAAGCTTTTTGTTCCACTGCCAGCTGCGTGTATGTTGACGATGTTAATCGGTGAAATCGCTTAGCTACTAACATGCAGCTGCCACAATAAAAATAAAATTGCTCATACAAAGTGTAAAATGGCCAAAAACATGAAATTCCGCCAGCGTGCGATGTTGTATGTGTGTATGGAATTTTTGAGTTTGCAAGCAAAGAAACCAAGAAGCTTTGGCTCACTCTCTGACTACCGCTCTCCGTCTTTTCCTCTTTGTGTTCTCGTGCATGTGTATAGAGATTCTTCACTAATTTCTGCTAGAGAAACTTTTGCCCTGTCTGCAATTGAGTAAAATGGCACGAGAGAGAGAGAGAAATGACCGTCAGGAATACAAAGTTGTTGCTAACGGATTTGTGCGATCGTCAAATGGGCAATAAAATTTTAATGCAACCAATGGTTTTTGGCTAGTTTATGAAAACCATCCTTCGGATACAGCCCGGGCTCTGCCTAGTCTAGTCTGATCTGAGTCCAACTCGTTTCTTCAAATAATTGGATATATACATATATATCGAATGAGCCGCACCATAAGTGCAGCTGTTAAAATATCATAAATGGTTCAAGAGACTGCATATTGACACATTGAGACCACTCAAACGGAATAAACGAAAGAGATAAAAGACGACACCGAAATAACGCAATCTATAAATATGAACGGATTTAGGAATCAATTGTGAATGGGATGGCAGAGCACAAATACGAAGACAAAAGTCCCCCCCACACATACACAGACACAAGACGAAATAAATCGAACGAAGGAAAATTTCCTGCAAATTCAGAAGCACTTGAATTAAATGCAAACAAAATTGTGACTTTATAAATTTCTTCGTCGTTTCGTCTTCAGTTGATTTTTTTTTGTTCGGTCGTTCAATGAACAGTACCGTTTTATTGTACGATGAAAATGTGATTTCTCATTTCTTTTGCATTGAAAATCGACTAACTTTTTCCACTTTGCTTCGTATTGAACTTTGTTTATTCTCGGATATGACTTTTTCGCTATCCCTCCGGCTGAAATTCGATGCATACATCCAGAAAGAAGGAAAATTGAGACGAACTAGAGCCGAACGGATTTCGAAATTTCATTTAAATTAGTTCGCTGCTCCAATAAGAGGGAGCGAAGAGAGAGAGAGAGAAAGCAAGAACTACTTAATTTGACGAGTTTTCTTTCAATTTGTAATGAAACACACAAGTAAACGAGATTTTTCAAGTTCATTTGTCTGCCAGAGGAGGTTCGATCGTGTGCGGCGCGCATACAATGCAATACACACTGCACTGTTGGCTCGGTTGTGTAAATGTTTAATGTGCACAGAAACATAATTGAATCAAACAAAAAGTCCGTTCAATATTATATATACACACACAGATACATGCTTTATATTCCGTATACGGTCCGGCATGACGACAAAAACCAAGCGTAACAAGAAACAAAAACTGAAGTATAGAACAGCCAGAAAGGAAAAAAAATCAAATAAAAAGTATTCGACTGAGAAATGTCTCCTTCTTATTTTTCCAGCTTACTCTCTCTTGCTCTCCCTCTCGCTCGCTCGTTTTCTGTCTCGTGCACTTTTTGCACCGTGTGTTGTTTTGCTCTCTCTCTCTCTCTCTCTCTCTCTCTCTCTTTCTCTCCCTGTGTGTGTGTGAATCGAATCAATTTATAAATATGTT